CCTCTGGAACTGCCGTTCTGCGGCCAACAAGGCAGAGTTCATCTCAGCCTATGCTACCCTCCAGTCCCTCGACTTCTTGGCGCTGACGGAAACATGGATTACCACTGAAAACACTGCTACTCCTACTGCTCTCTCCTCGTCTGACCATGTGTTCTCGCATACCCCGAGAGCATCTGTCAGTGGGGTGGTGGCACAGGAATCCTCATCTCTCCCAAGTGGACATTCTCTCTTTTTCCCCTGACCCATATGTCTATCTCCTCATTTGAATTCCATGCTGTCACAGTCACTAGGCCATTCAAGCTTAACATCCTTATCATTTATCGCCCTCCAGGTTCCCTTGGAGAGTTCATCAATGAGCTTGACGCCTTGATAAGTTCCTTTCCTGAGGATGGCTCACCCCTCACAGTTCTGGGTGACTTTAATGTCACGATCGTCGGGAACAGAGGACCAATGCGCAGCGTTGAATGCAAACATATTTATTAACACTGAAGGAAACACGAACAAAAACGATAATGTGACAGTCAACGGTCTAACATAAACCAACTAGAACAAGAACCCACAAACACAACGGGAAAAACAGACAGTTTAAATATGGCTCCCAATCAGAGACAACCAGCTGACAGCTGACACTCGTTGCCTCTGATTGGGAGTCACTCAGGCCAACATAGAAATAAGCAAACTAGAACTCCCAACATGAAATAGAATACAAAGATCTACACACCCTGGCTCAACATAACAGTGTCCCCAGAGCCAGGGCGTGACATTTAACCTCCCTACGTCTACCTTTGACTCATTTCTCTCTGCCTCCTTCTTTCCACTCCTCTCCTCTTTTGACTTCACCCTCTCACCGTCCTCCCCTACTCACAAGGCAGGCAATACGCTTGACCTGCTGTTCTTCTACTAATCTCACTGCAACTCCCCTCCATGTCTCCGACCACTACTTTGTATCCTTTTCTCTCTCGCTCTCCTCCAACACTACTCACTCTGCCCCTATTCAGAGGGTAATGCGCCGTCGCAACCTTCGCTCTCTCTCTCCCGCTACTCTCTCCTCTTCCATCCTATCATCTCTTCCCTCTGCTCAATTCTTCTCCCTCCAATCTCCTGATTCTGCCTCCTCAACCCTCCTCTCCTCCCTTTCTGCATCCTTTGACTCTCTATGTCCCCTATCATCCCAGCCGGCTCGGTCCTCCCCTCCTGCTCCGTGGCTTGATGACTCATTGCGAGCTCACAGAACAGGGCTCCGGGCAGCCGAGCGGAAATGGAGGAAAACTAGACTCCCTGTGGACCTGGCATCTTTTCACTCCCTCCTCTCTACATTTTCTTCATCTGTTTCTGCTGCTAAAGCTACTTTCTACCACTCTAAATTCCAATCATCTGCCTCTAACCTCTTTGCCACCTTCTCCTCCCTACTGAATCCTCCTCCCCCTCACCCCCCTCCTCCCTCTCTGTGGATGACTTTGTCAACCATTTTGAAAAGAAGGTTGACGACATCCGATCCTCGTTTGTTAAGTCAAATGACACTGCTGGTCCTGCTCACACTGCCCTACCCTATGCTTTGACTTCTTTCTCCCCTCTCTTTCCAGATGAAATCTTGCGACTTGTGATGGCCGGCCACCCAACAACCTGCCCGCTTGACCCTATCCCCTCCTCTCTTCTCCAGACCATTTCCGGAGACCTTCTCCCTTTCCTCACCTCGCTCATCAACTCATTCTTGACCGCTGGCTATGTCCCTTCCGTCTTCAAGAGAGCGAGAGTTGCACCCCTTCTCAAAAAACCTACACTCGATCCCTCCGATGTCAACAACTACAGACCAGTATCCCTTCTTTCTTTTCTCTCCAAAATTCTTGAGAGTGCCGTCTTTAGCCAACTCTCTTGCTATCTCTCTCAGAATGACCTTCTTGATCCAAACCAGTCAGGTTTCAAGACTGGTCATTCAACAGAGACTGCTCTTCTCTGTGTCACAGAGGCTCTCCGCACTGCTAAAGCTAACTCTCTCTCCTCTGCTCTTGTTCTTCTAGACCTGTCTGCTACCTTTGATACTGTAAACCATCAGATCCTCCTCTCCACCCTCTCCGAGTTGGGCGAGAATCTGTCTCCGCACCACGTGCTCTCACCACTGGTGTCCCCCAGGGCTCAGTTCTAGGCCCTCTCCTATTCTTGCTATACACCAAGTCACTTGGCTCTGTCATATCCTCACATGGCCTCTCCTATCATTGCTACGCAGATGACACACAACTAATCTTCTCCTTTCCCCCTTCTGATAACCAGGTGGCGAATCGCATCTCTGCATGTCTGGCAGACATATCAGTGTGGATGACGGATCACCACCTCAAGCTGAACCTCGGCAAGACGGAGCTGCTCTTCCTCCCGGGGAAGGACTGCCCGTTCCATGATCTCGCCATCACGGTTGACAACTCTGTTGTGTCCTCCTCCCAGAGTGCAAAGAGCCTTGGCGTGACCCTGGACAACACCCTGTCGTTCTCCACTAACATCAAGGCGGTGACCCGATCCTGTAGGTTCATGCTCTACAACATTCGGAGAGTACGACCCTGCCTTACACAGGAAGCGGCACAGGTCCTAATCCAGGCACTTGTCATCTCCCATCTGGATTACTGCAACTCGCTGTTGGCTGGGCTCCCTGCCTGTGCCATTAAACCCCTACAACTCATCCAGAATGCCGCAGCCCATCTGGTTTTCAACCTTCCCAAGTTCTCTCACGTCACCCCGCTCCTCCGCACACTCCACTGGCTTCCAGTCTCCTGAGTGGCGCAGTGGTCTAAGGCACTGCATCGCAGTGCTAACTGTGCCACTAGAGATCCTGGTTCGAATCCAGGCTCTGTCGCAGCCGGCCGCGACCGGGAGACTCATGGGCGGCACACAATTGGCCCAGCGTCGTCCAGGGTAGGGGAGGGAATGGCCGGCAGGGATGTAGCTCAGTTGATAGAGCATGGCGTTTGCAACGGCAGGGTTGTGGGTTCGATTCCCACGGGGGGCCAGTATAAAAAAAATATACATGTATTCACTAACTGTAAGTCGCTCTGGATAAGAGCGTCTGCTAAATGACTAAAATGTAAAATGTAAAATGTTGAAGCTCGCATCTGCTACAAGACCATGGTGCTTGCCTACGGAGCTGTGAGGGGAACGGCACCTCCGTATCTTCAGGCTCTGATCAGTCCCTACACCCAAACGAGGGCATTGCGTTCATCCACCTCTGGCCTGCTGGCCCCACTACCTCTGCGGAAGCACAGTTCCCGCTCAGCCCAGTCAAAACTGTTCACTGCTCTGGCACCCCAATAGTGGAACAAGCTCCCTCACGACGCCAGGACAGCGGAGTCACTCACCACCTTCCGGAGACACTTGAAACCCCACCTCTTTAAGGAATACCTGGGATAGGATAATGTAATCCTTCTATCCCCCCTTACCCCACCCCCCAAAAAAAACATATTGTAAAGTGGTTATCCCACTGGCTATAAGGTGAATGCACCAATGTGTAAGTCGCTCTGGATAAGAGCGTCTGCTAAATGACGTAAATTTAAATGTAATATTTCTGTTAAAGGGATCTTACAATAAGGTTCTGTTCTCTGACTACTAGGGCCATCTAGTGGCTGACGATGGACACGTCTGAGTTTCTGACTGCCTAGACCACAGAACGAGTGCAGCGTACGCGTGAACATAATATGAACCAGACTGGTTACATTACATGGATTCTAATATGAACCAGACTGGTTACATTACATGGACTCTAATATGAACCAGACTGGTTACATTACATGGACTCTAATATGAACCAGACTGGTTACATTACATGGACTCTAATATGAACCAGACTGGTTACATTACATGGACTCTCCTTGCTCTCTAAGTAGCCAACACGGACTACTGATGTCTGATCCAACTACACAAACTAGAAGATAAGTCTGTTTCAGGCAGACAGGGACACAGATTAAGCCTACTCCAGAGCTAAACAACAATAGGGGGTTGTTGTTGGGGAGTGTTCTCTGCAGAGTACGTCGAGGGAGAGGGTGAGCTGAACTGTGTATTGCCTTGGTCACTGTTGCCGCGTGTGACTAGGAGAATCTGTCAGAGAAATGACCATGACCTAAACACACACAAATACACACCAGTGTAACTTGAAACCTCGCTGGCTGACCTCTGGACTCTGGAATGGACTCAGTCTGCCTTGACCTTCTGAGAGCTCCGCAGGCACACAGTCTGGTCTGACCAAATTCCAGTGGTGTGACAGGAGAGAGTTAAAGACAGAGGCACTGCAGAACAGCACAACCAGGCAGCAATACTTACAAGACAGGCTGAACAAAATCGAACATGTGCAGTAGCCATTGTGTGTAGTTAGTGTTTTATTAAAACATTCCAAATACAAAACACTTTACACAGTCTCAAGCCCAAACAGTTAAAGATACTGTACATACATATCAGTCACATCTCATATAATTGTGGATAAATACCTGTGACATATTAAAAGCTGCATAAATAACCTTCAAGTATTCAGCCAGCGTCCAGACAGACAGAGCCACCTTCAGCTTTACATTCTCTCCTCTCCTAAATATACACCACCAGAAGATATACAACCTCATATTATACACACCCTTCATTTGGCCTATAAAAGCCTACAGTCACATCACCATGGTTAGTGTCCTACCAACAATGACTAAGCCAGTCTGTTTTAGTCACTCCTGGAGGTTTGGCATGAACATGACAGAGGAGCTGGTTACAGTTCTAATTCCTAATAATATGGTTACAGCAGACAGAGATCTGGCACCCCCAGGCTAGCAATGATTCAGTTACTTTCTTTTTCCTCCTTTGCTTCAATACACCCCATGGGGCGGCAGGTAGCTTAGTGGTTAAGAGCGTTGCGCCAGTAACCGAAAGGTCGCTGGTTCTAATCCCCGAGCCGACTAGGTGAAAAATCTGTCGATGTGCCCTTGAGCAAGGCACTTAACCCTAATTGCTCCTGTAAGTCGCTCTGGATAAGAGCGTCTGCTAAATGACTAAAATGTAAATGTATACACCAAACCATGATCACATTAGTATACCATATCCCCTGTATGAGCGTATAACAGTCAAAAAACACAAAAGAGAGTGAGAAAGAGTGGTTTAACCACTATATTCCTTTGAAACATGTATACCTCGCAACCCTAAAAAACAAGCATCTGAACACACACCCCTCCTCTCTACAGAATACCACCCCTCCCTCAGTCTGCTGTAGAATCTCTCAGACACACTCAGCGCATAACACACCTGATTCCTTTGGATGAGTAGTTGTGATAGATGTGTTAGTGCTGGAACTAAAGCCTGCACACTACATAGCTGTCCAGGACCTGGGTTGGTGACTGTTCTAGGAAAATGGTTCCTATCTTAGTGACGCCGTCTGTCTCCTTCTCAATAAAGCAGAGCAATAAAATCTGCTAAAATCTGCTTTATATAGACACAGGCAGCTATTCCTCTCGAAGGTTGACAAAACAGTCAATGTTTGAAATCATTATTCAAAATATAAGACAACAAGAAGTGTGCCTGGGTGCTCTTGGCTGTCCGTCTGTAACAAGTATAAAAGGACACTGATCCATCCAATGACAGAACAGAGACAGACAGAGAGCCCTACTATGTAACAGCAGAGCCATGTGGTAGTGCCAGGATGGAGGCCAGTTGCAGCTCTAGAGCAGGACAGATGCTGCAACTGCACAGCACAGAATCTGTGATATGGGAGAGGGAGGGATGTTTGTAGAGGAGTAGACAGGCCAGATTGAACAAACACAAAGGCTGCCACTGCATCATTAGCGCAATGCTCAGACAACATAGTTATAACACAGCAAACTCTTTTGGCACAAATGAAAGTTTCCTATGGGCAGAGACTGTGACATTTTCAGTGCAGAGAAGCAGAATGCTGCAGAGAGCTTGATCAAATATCATTTAAAGGCTTCATACACACACAAGGCCACAAAACTCAGAAAAGAGCCAACTTGTGATCAGTTTCAGCAAGCATTTCAACAATCCACATGACCAGGACTGTGTGCTCACATGTGCACATACACACACTTCTTCTTCAATAACAATCCTAAAATAAGGAGTCCACAGGTAGGCAGTCCTCCCTCTGCAAGGTTAGTCCATCAACAGTATGTTTTGTGTGTGTTTGGTAAAATAAAGATTAGGTCTTAACCGTGTGTCTGTAGCAAGACCCAGTCCTCACATCAGTGTTTTTCCTCCTAAAAAGTAAACTTCCTGTTCATGTCCGCATTCCCCTCTGATAGGCTGAGCTGGCTCAGGACTCCCCCCCTTGGCGCTGGTGTCCAACCACGTGGGGGTTGAACTGTGTGATGATGATGGTGATGTCGTCGCGGTACATGCGGGCCAGTTCCTCAGGCAGAGACAACATCTTGGACAGAGTCTCATGGTCCACTGCTCCAAACTCATTGTTGCCCACCGCGTGGCGAATCAGGTGGGTGGCAGCATTCTGGTCCTGGAATGCCAAGGAGGCGCGGGCCTTCCTCTCAGCCAGCAGCCCCTGCATCTGTCCCAGGGTGACATGGTAGCCGCCCACGGTGAGGGGCTGACGCTGGTGGACCCCCGTTAGATACTCCCCTACGATCCGGACCACCTCCTGTCGGTGGAGCGTCTCCCACAGCCCGTCTGTACCCAGCACCTGCGGGAGGAGAGACAAAGATCTCTAGTTAATAAAAGGAAACTTCTATATAACTATATAACTTCAGATATAGGTACAGTGCCTTGCAAAAGTATTCATCCCCCTTGGCGTTTTTCCTATTTTGTAGCATTACAACCTGTAATTTAAATTGATTTTTATTGGGATTTCATGTAATGGACATACAAATGACTAAATACACAAAATAGTGAAATGAAAAAAATTACTTGTTTCAAAAAATTCTAAAAAATAAATAACGGAAAAGTGGTGCGTGCATATGTATTCACCCCCTTTGCTATGAAGCCCCCAAATAAGATCTGGTGCAACCAATCACCTTCAGAAGTCACATAATTAGTTAAATAAAGTCCCCCTGTGTGCAACCTAAGTGTCACATGATCTGTCACATGATCTCAGTATATAGACACCTGTTCTGAAAGGCCCCAGAGTCTGCAACACCACTAAGCAAGGGGCACCACTAAGCAAGGGGCACCACCAAGCAAGCGGCACCATGAAGACCAAGGAGCTCCTCAAATAGGTCAGGGACAAAGTTGTGGAGAAGTACAGATCAGGGTTGGGTTATAAAATAATATCAGAAACTTTGAACATCCCACGGAGCACCATTAAATCCATTATTTAAAAAATGGAAAGAATATGGTACCACAGCAAACCTGCCAAGAGAGCGCTGCCCACCAAAACTCACAGACCAGGCAAGGAGGGCATTAATCAGAGAGGCAACAAAGAGACCAAAGATAACCCTGAAGGAGCTGCAAAGCTCCACAGCGGAGATTGGAGTATCTGTCCATAGGACCACTTCAAGCCGTACACTCCTCAGAGCTGGGCTTTACAGAAGAGTGGCCAGAAAAAAGCCATTGCTTAAAGAAGAAAATAAGCAAACACGTTTGGTGTTCGCCAAAAGCCATGTGGGAGACTCCCCAAACATATGGAAGAAGGTACTCTGGTCAGATGAGACTAAAATTGAGCTTTTTGGCCATCAAGGAAAACGCTATGTCTGGCGCAAACCCAACACCTCTCATCACCCCAAGAACACCATCCCCACAGTGAAGCATGGTGGTGGCAGCATCATGCTGTGGGGATGTTTTTCCATCGGCAGAGACTGGGAAACTGGTCAGAATTGAAGGAACGATGGATGGCGCTAAATACAGGGAAATTCTTGAGGGAAACCTGTTTCAATCTTCCAGAGATTTGAGACTGGGATGGAGGTGCACCTTCCAGCAGGACAATGACCCTAAGCATTATGCTAAAGCAACACCGAGTGGTTTAAGGGGAAACGTTTAAATGTCTTGGAATGGCCTAGTCAAAGCCCAGACCTCAATCCAACTGAGAATCTGTGGTATGACTTAAAGATTGCTGTACACCAGCAGAACCCATCCAACTTGAAGGAGCTGGAGCAGTTTTGCCTTGAAGAATGGACAAAAATCCCAGTGGCTAGATGTGCCAAGCTTATAGAGACATACCCCAAGAGACTTGCAGCTGTAATTGCTGCAAAAGGTGGCTCTACAAAGTATTGACTAGTGAATAGTTATGCACGCTCAAGTTCAGTTTTTTGTCTTATTTCTTCTTGGTTTCACCAAAAAAATTATTTTGCATCTTCAAAGTGGTAGGCATGTTGTGTAAATCAAATGATACAAACCCCCAAAAAATCAATTTTAATTCCAGGTTGTAAGGCAACAAAATAGGAAAAATGCCAAGGGGGGGTGAATACTTTCGCAAGCCACTGTACGTTTTAAATGGAACACAATGCAAGTTTCTGTTAAAGAAAAGACAACAAAGCCTTATCAACCAATGAATTAATGAAATCATGAATTGGTCAATCAATCAATTGACCAATGCTTTGTCTCTCACCAGGAAGCGGTCCTGAGGTCGGAGGCGGTGGTGTGTGATCTCAGGCTCGGCCGTGAGGTAGGGAGGGGTGTGGTAGTTGGGGGGGATGAACTTGGTGTGTTCATTGTCATGGAGCTGGTCTGGTCCTGACTCCAACACACCTCGCTGCAAGTCAATGCTCCACTTGAACTTCACATCTCCAAACGCACGGAACGGCATCAGCAGGCCTAACAACCGGTCCTGACAGAGGGAGAGAAAGAGATAGGGGATATATGTTTTTTTTAAACGTTATGTTTAATTGACCTGCTGTGCCACCGTTCTCTCTGGATGTGCAACGGTACTGACCTGTCGTATGACAGTCTTCTTCTCAGCGGGGGGGTGCTCCCCCTGGATGCGGGCCACCTCATTCTCATTCTGGGCGTTGTGGTCGTTGGAGAGCGTGTGAGCGCTGAACGAGCCATCCTTCTCCTGGACCCCTAGCACCGCCCGGCCGTCGCCCGTGTTCGCTACATACCTACACAGCCACATTCAGACAGTCAGAGCTAGATGGAGCAGACAGATCGAGATCAGGTAGTTCATATGAGAGCCAACAGAGAGAGATCCATGGGTGTGGACTAGAGTACGTACAGGTCGGATCCATCAATGTGAGCTACACAGGCAGTCGCTCCAGAGAAGGCCACTCTCAGAACCCAGTAGTGGAGGAAGGAATTGGCGTCTCCCACCTGGACAACACAAAACAGGGATCAGCACTACACATTTATACCCAGGGCTGGATACTATGGTAACACAGAGACATCGATGGATGGAGGATAGAAGTCAAGGGGATAGAACAGGGTCTCCCACCTGAGCCTCCAGAGACAGGTCACTGTCCAGTCTCTTAAAGGCACTCAGCAATGCCTCTCTGGGCCCTAGGCTCTCCCCTGGACTGGGAACACAATCACATACAATCAACTCCAACACTGAATAATGACCCATGTTTAATAACATTACTGATGCATCCTCATTACCCCATGCCTGTTGAGGTCTATGACTTGCTGCGAGTGTGTGTGTGTGTGTGTGTACCTGCTGAGGTCTATGAGTTCCTGCCAGTAGGTTCTGAGGCTGTTGAAGTACATAGTCTGTGCCTCCCTGGTGAAGTAGTCGTTGGGATGTTTGTGCCACTGCAGGATGGGGCTCAGGGGTCTGCCTGCCTCTACTGCCGACTCCAGCTCACACAGGGTCTCATGGGGCATCAACGACATGGCTATGTAGTAGAACAACCTCTCACTCAACGCCTGAGAAAAAGAGAGAGGTAGATGTTTTAACTGCACATGAAAACTAGCTTGGTGATTATACACAATGACAGCAGAAACTCTACCTGTGCACAGGCGCAGCCTGCATGGCCGTCGAACACTCCCAGCAGCATCCCCCGCGTCTGCAGACAGGTGGCAGCGCTGCGCCGGTCCTCGATGGGTGCGTTGGCAGGCAGCTGGTTACTGTCGAACCCCATTACCGACGACACGTTCTTACCATCAAACTCTGGAACCTAGAACCAAAGCACACACTCATATTCTTATGGTCTCAGCGTAATCGTGAAGCTGTACTCGTGTGTATCGTCCGCCCCTACCTTGAAGCTGTACTCGTTGGCCTTGAGGATTGAGTTGACCTGTGGGGGGGTGAGATTGTAGCTGTGGAGGTCAGGGGTCCTCCTATAGCCACGCATGGGCATGGTTGACGGCCATGTGGGGTTAGGCTGCGACGAGGAGGGGCAGCAGGGGGGCTGGCGTTGGCATGGGAACAGGGAGGAACCCCAGAGCCTCGCTCGAGGGAAGCCTCGGAAAAGCTGTGATGTCACAGGCATGGTGGCGCGCTCTGGGCGCACACACTCTCAGAGTTCCACCAACACACACACACCTACGGGAAAAAATGCAGCCTGTATTGTCTGTATCATTCAGTCAACACAGCCACGGCTGATTATGTCATTTTGATTGTGTACACTCCTCTAATTCATTCACTGTACATAAATTACTGCCTCGTAGTATTAGAGCTCTCGACAAAGGTACCATTACAGATCGATACAAACAAAAGTGACATGCATATAATATAACGGATCAAGTCAAGCACTTTTATCTTTCAACCCAATTTTGATTGTGTGGTGAATAAGGGAGCTGGAACCAGTGACTTTGCTACAAGGCAACCTCCTGTGCCATAGAGGTCTGAGCCTCTTGGCAGAGGCTTTAGTATGCTTTGAGGGAGGTTGCACTGGAACAATGGAACACTGCATTCCACTACTGTATCTGACTAGTGTGACAGACTGGCACTAGGTTGCCAGGCTGTGTTGCTCCATAAAAGAGCCTTGCACCTCTACAGCAGTGGTTCTCAAACTTCACTCCAAACATTTCACAATTTAGTTGTAGCTCTAAACTAGCTGACCTGATTCACCTATACAAGGGCTTGATGATTAGTTGACAAGTTAAATCAGGCGTGCTAGCTCTGGAATAGAACAAATACATGGAATGGCTGAAGGTCCCGAGGAGAGGTTTGAGAACCAGTGCTCTACAGGGGTCAGCCACGGCTAGTTGCCTGCCAGGCTTTGTTGCTCCATAAAAGAGCCTTGCACACCTACAGGGGTCAGCAATTTGCCTGACAGACTATATATAGTCCTGTCAAGCCGGTCTGACATTTGCTCACTACTGAAAGCCCTATCTTGTCCTACTGAACTAGATTCTCGGCTATCCCTCTCTCTGCCCTTTCCGCCTCCTAGATTAGGACCCCTATTGTAACAGCTAATGGGGATCCTAATAAAATACAAAAAAATACAAAAATTACACAACAATTAAAGGGGCAATCAGAAGTTGCTAAATTCATGATAAGTACCAATTGATTCTTGAAGAATATAACTTATAAATGCCTCAAGCTTAGTTCAACTGTCATACCCCATCAAAACCCAAAATATAAGCTTGTTTTACTCCAATGTTTGTAAACAAAGTAAATGTAAACAAACACAATATAGCCTCAAAACATGGTTAAAAATATTATTATGGTTAGTCCTTGCATCCATAGCTCTGTCTATGAATTTGAGAGTGGTTACATTTCTCCAGCCCTATCCCTCAGATTTTTACCGAAACAGGGTCCGGGAATTTGCGTTCTTATTGTTTCTACTGCTGATTGACGTTTTAACCTAGCTATTTGTAGCGATGGGGCAATGCGTGACACTGCTTTGGCCGGTCGAAAGAGACCCAGCACGGCTGAACTGCAGATAACCACCCGGTACTAGTTGAAATACCACTCAGACCTCCAGTCTATGACCAGTGACCACGGCCTATCCCTGGCTAGGCCTGACTCCTACACAGTTGCCATATTGTTTACAGTACAGTTCAGAGTCAGCCTTCTTGTACTTAGATTAAATCGACATCAATCTCTACATAGTTCCCGATAGCGAATAATCCCAAATGCAAGCCTAATTGAAGCCAGCACATTGTGTTATGCCTTAATTTGATGGGCCGACAAAGTCTACTCTACTGCTGGGAAGTAACGTTCTGGCTAGCACGATCTAGCTATGCGTCACCGCAAACCAGCCAAAAATACCACTCCTCCTTCAGTTCTTGTACATTACTGTCACGGTAACAAAGCTTACGACACAAGAGGTCAGTTATCAATGCAGAGAACACATGCTGTACAAAAGTAACATGCAAAACTGATCAAGTCAAACACATTTATCTAGCCACCGACCTTATTCTCTGTTTACTATTTTGTTTTCGTACGCTACCGACCCTCCTGCATCTCTCTCCAGCTCAGGACACACTGAACGTTGATTGGCTCACCTCTCTGACAGAGGAGCGTTGACTGGCTTCTTAACCCTTTGCACGCTGGTGGGGGTTGGTGACATTGACTTTCATGCATCAAAATTATGTATAGATCTCTCATCAAAATGAGTTAATTAACTATTCATCATTACCTATGATTAACTATTTGCAAAAGAACACCCAGTGTAGTAAAGGAACAGGTGAACGGATCCTGCTGGCTGCAGCTCCTACAGGCCCTGGAGCAGAGCTGAGCTGGGGCTACTCTTATCTAGTTTTATAGCCCATAATAAGGTCATCACACTTCTGCAGAAGTGCTGTTTCCTGGCACATGTTAAGTTAGTAATTGATGATCCCAGTACAGCAGCCAATAGTTAATGTGTGGATGCACATAATCCTTCTCTCATCTTCACCTCGCTCCATCCCTCAAGCCTCTCTCAATCCTCTCTCTCTATATACAGGACCAATAACAGATGAAGCTAATGAGACAATATAATCAGACACATTGTTTTAATTTGTACAAAAATATCACATAGAAAAACTGAATTACAACATTTACATCATCAACCCAGTAAAGAAGATGTACAAAATACTGGAAAAATACTGTGTAAACAAGTAGAAAAGCATCTGAAAAAATAAATAAAAATACACATTAGAGGCTGCCGAAGCTGTAAACAAAACAATTTAACCGCGCTAGTCACACAGATACCAAGGCTGTTACATACTAACAAGGCATGGCATACTATCATCATTCTGACAGCAGGAACTATATAAGGAATCTCTGGTCCACCAATGTTTTGTTGGCCAGGTTTCTCCGCCCAATACCGTTACGGATTAATCGAAAGATCTAGAACAGAAAATAAATTGAATGTTATTTTTTACTGTTGTACAACAAACACAGACAAGTACACACACAAACAATACTGACCATTTGCTGTGCGTATGTGAGTACGGCTGCCAGTATGAAGCTCTGTGCTCCCAGGTCAACCACACAGAAGAAGAGCGTGTCAAAGATCAACAGAGTGGCTTCGTTCCCATAGAACAGCACGTCACTGAACGAATGGGACTCATCTGTCAGAGATGAATAAAGACATATTTCAGAGGTCATACAGGTGCAGAGGCTTGTCCATACAGACCATACCGCTGTATGAAACACTACTTTGGTAGGCCAGTTATCTGCAGCCCACACAGTGTGTGTACAAAATGCTTTGTGTCATGTGATATAGAGAGAGTATTACTGGTGTATCTGTCAAGTAGTGATATAGAGAGAGTATTACTGTTGTATCTGTCATGTAGTAATATACAGTATTACTGTTGTATCTACAGCGACGGGTGAGGTTGTGTCTCTCTCTGGTGGGAGGTAAGCTTGGCTCATATGGTGTCGAGTAAAGATTAAATAATGTATTTAGATTGTAGGTAGGTAGGTATTGTAGTTAGGTATTGTAGGTAGTTTATCTAGGTAGTTATTGTTGGTAATTATTGTAGGTAAGTATTGTATTCGGCAGAGCCCGGTGAAGCACGAGGCTAGCTAACTCACTACCTGGACCAATAAAGCTAGCTAGCTAGCGGGTAGCTACAGGTAACTATTAGCAACTGTGGATAGTTGTTTCCAATGTTATTCCACGCTTAAGAGTACCTGTAATTATGCCAGCTAGCTACCTACCATTCAGCTGTTTTTCTAACCTCATTATCTGAAGCGTTAACGTTAGGTAGTTAGTAGCTACTGTACTCGAAATGTAGCTACCTGGACAGCTAACTAAACAATAGCTGGAACGACCTAGCGTTAATATTTGCAGACGCTTTCTCTCCATTTGGACAGACGCGAACTGGCTGAATCGATTCAGTGGCTAGCTTTGCACTTAACTGGCTAACAGTAGCTACTAAGGGTAAGCTATAACCGACATATATTTTTGTTTTGTTTTTACATACTGGTAACCAGAGTCGTTCAAGGGAATTTGGGACATGGGTGACTAGCTAACGTTAGCTTGGCTCTCTGTGTGTTCGTGCCGTGGGAGGAGGGGTTAGTTCGTTGGCAGAGAGCAATGGCTAGCTAGTATGCTAACTATTCTAGCTAACTAACTGGCTGAATAAGTTGATGACGTACTCACTCAAACTGTCAAAACTACCCCAAAACGTTAGACACGGACACAAATGATCTGCTTGGCGTGTTAACACACTGGTGGTTTGCTGTAACCGAGTAGTGGTGCTAAACCGTGTTATTGGAGGCTGGCATGCTAGTTGGCTTTGGCGTCATATGATTCGGTGTACCAAGTTAGCTAGCTGAATAAGCTAAGTTAGAGTCTATTCCTAGAAGCATTGAACCGCTGTAGTTTACAACAATTATAATTTCTAAAGTGGAAGTTGGGAGAGTTATATTTCAGTGTTTCAGTGAAACGTAAGTGAGGGAGGCCCCGCTCTCTCGCTTTCCCAGATGTTTAGTTCATTTCATTCCGATCTCCTTTGCATTATTGTAGCCTTTCTCTGTAGCCTGTCAACTATGTGTCTGTCTATCCCTGTTCTCTCCTCTCTGCACAGGCCATACAAACGCTTCACACCACGTGGCTGTTGCCACTAATCTGGTGGTCCCTGCGCGCACAACCCACGTGGAGTTCCAGGTCTCTGGCAGCCTCTGGAACTGCCGTTCTGCGGCCAACAAGGCAGAGTTAATCTCAGCCTATGCTACCCTCCAGTCCCTCGACTTCTTGGCGCTGACAGAAACATGGATTACCACAGAAAACACTACTACTCCTACTGCTCTTTCCTCGTCTAACCATGTGTTCTCGCATACCCCGAGAGCATCTGGTCAGCGCGGCGGTGGCACAGGAATCCTCATCTCTCCAAAGTGGACATTCTCTCTTTTTCCCCTGACCCATCTGTCTATCTCCTCATTTGAATTCCATGCTGTCACAGTCACTAGCCCATTCAAGCTTAACATCCTTGTCATTTATCGCCCTCCAGGTTCCCTTGGAGAGTTCATCAATGAGCTTGATGCCTTGATAAGTTCCTTTCCTGAGGATGGCTCACCCCTCACAGTTCTGGGTGACTTTAACCTCCCTACGTCTACCTTTGATTCATTTCTCTCTGCCTCCTTCTTTCCACTCCTCTCCTCTGTTGACCTCACCCTCTCACCGCCCCCCCCCCCCTACTCACAAGGCAGGCAATACGCTTGACCTCATCTTTACTAGATGCTGTTCTTCTACTAATCTCACTGCAACTCCCCTCCAAGTCTCCGACCACTACTTCGTATCCTTTTCTCTCCCGCTCTCCTCCAACACTACTCACTCTGCCCCTACTCAGATGGTAATGTGCTGTCGCAACCTTCGCTCTCCCGCTACTCTATCCTCTTCCATCCTATCATCTCTTCTCTCTGCTAAATCCTTCTCCCTTCAATCTCCTGATTCTGCCCCCTCAACCCTCGGCTCGGTCCTCCCCTCCTGCTCCGTGGCTTGACGACTCATTGCGAGCTCACAGAAGAGGGCTCCGGGCAGCTGAGCGGAAATGGAGGAAAACTAGACTCCCTGCGGACCTGTCATCTTTTCACTCCCTCCTCTCTACATTCTCTTCCTCCTTTTCCTCTGCTAATGCCACTTTCTACCACTCTATATTTCAAGCCTCTGCCTCTAACCCTAGGAAGCTCTTTGCCACCTTCTCCTCCCTCCTGAATCCTCCTCCCCCTCCCTCCTCCCTCTCTGTGGATGACTTCGTCAACCATTTTGAAAAGAAGGTTGACGACATCCGATCCTCATTTATTAAGTCAAATGACACCGCTGGTCCTGCTCACACTGCCCTACCCTATGCTTTGACTTCTTTCTCCCCTCTCTCTCCAGATTAAATCTTGCGACTTGTGACGGCCGGCCGCCCAACAACCTGCCCGCTTGACCCTATCCCCTCCTCTCTTCTCCAGACCATTTCCAGAGACCTTCTCCCTTACCTCACCTCGCTCATCAACTCATCCTTGACCGCTGGCCATGTCCCTTCCGTCTTCAAGAGAGCGAGAGTTGCACCCCTCCTCAAAAAACCTACACTCGATCCCTCCGATGTCAACAACTGCAGACCAGTATCCCTTCTTTCTTTTCTCTCCAAAACTCTTGAGCGTGCCGTCTCTAGCCAACTCTCCTGCTATCTCTCCCAGAATTACCTTCTTGATCCAAACCAGTCAGGTTTCAAGACTGGTCATTCAACTGAGACTGCTCTTCTCTGTGTAACGGAGGCTCTCCGCACTGCTAAAGCTAACTCTCTCTCCTCTGCTCTTATTCTTCTAGACCTATCCGCTGCCTTTGATACTGTGAACCATCAGATCCTCCTCTCCACCCTCTCTGAGTTGGGCATCTCCGGCGCTGCTCACTCTTGGATTGCGTCCTACCGGACAGGTCGCTCTTACCAGGTGGCGTGGCGAGAATCTGTCTCCGCACTACGTGCTCTCACCACTGGTGTCCCCCAGGGCTCAGTTCTAGGCCCTCTCCTATTCTCTCTATACACCAAGTCACTTGGCTCTGTCATATCCTCACATGGTCTCTCCTATCATTGCTACGCAGACGACACACAATTAATTTTTTTTGTTCGACCTTCCTAAGTTCTCTCATGTCACCCCGCTCCTCCGTACACTCCACTGGCTTCCAGTTGAAGCTCGCATCTGCTACAAGACCATGGTGCTTGCCTACGGAGCTGTGAGGGGAACGGCACCTCCTTACCTTCAGGCTCTGATCAGACCCTACACCCAAACGAGGGCACTACGTTCATCCACCTCTGGCCTGCTAGCTCCCCTACCTCTACAGAAGCACAGTTCCCGCTCAGCTCAGTCAAAGCTATTTGCTGCTCTGGCACCCCAATGGTGGAACAAGCTCCCCCACGACGCCAGGACAGCGGAGTCACTGACCACCTTCCGGAGACACTTGAAACCCTACCTCTTTAAGGAATACCTGGAATAGTATAAAGCAATCCTTCTACCCCCCCCCTCCCCATAAAAAAAAGAAGTAAGTCGCTCTGGATAAGAGCGTCTGCTAAATGATGTAAATGTAAATGTGATATAGAGAGTATTACCATTGTAGAAGATGCTCTTGTCCATAGGCTCCATGAACTCCATCCCTATGACGCTCTCAAAAAACAGTTTGTCTCTCACAACGTATTCCATGTCCCGATGGGCCTACAGGGAACACAACAAAACATCAGGTAAGGGTGTGTGTGTGTGTGTGCTAAAGTGATTATAACAGATCCCAAGAAGTGGGTCATGGTGTGTGTTTGTTCTGGTGTGTTTATATCTGACATGGTCTATGACAGATCCTAGGAAACGGTTCATGGTGTGGTAGGCTTTGGTGCTCTGGTCAAAGGGGTGTCCTGAGGCTGCGTCCACCAACCGCGATGGCCCAGTTCTCTGTTAGAGACAGACCGATGCAGAGGCACGTTCAAGGCGATAAAACACAAGATAATATTCAGATAAACACATTGTATAGAACGGACAAAAAATATCTGTCATGTTGATTATAATGATATTAAACAACACACACACACACACACACACACACACACACACACACACAGCCCCACCCTGCTGAGAGGCTCCAGGATGCGGTCGTACTGCTGGCGTAGTCGGCTGGTGATGGAGATCTGGAAGGTCTGAGTGTCTGTGTTGGGAAGGAGACCTCTCTGACCACACAGAGACTCCTACAGGGAGCGAGAGGGAGAAAGGGTTGAATAGCCTTTTATATCATAACAAAATACACACATCCCAATCTCATACCCACTCGCTCTCTGTCTGTCTCTGTGTGTACGTACGGCCTCTCTCTTGAGGTTGATGTTCATCTCCTCCATGTTGGTGTCAGCGTGGCCGTGGACGGAGCGCCCGTGGATGTAGTAACCAAAACACCTGTGGGACAGCAGCAACACCGAGATCTAAGACAGAAGAAAAACTTTATTTAAACGACTGACAGCATTACAACAGCAGCAGGAGCAGTTCATCATCAGCCCATTTCACTTTTACAAAATGTGCACGGCAGTTGAGACACACACAAAATGTACATGCTGCTGAGAGTGATACTCACGTTGCTGATGGAGCAAAGGTCCACAAACTGGCGGATCTTATCCTCCACAAAACGCTCATGGAACGCAGCGAAGAAAATTATCTGCAGAGAGAAAGTGAAACACACACAGAGTGAGAAAGCCTGTCCAGAGACACACTGGTGACAGGTCCGACGTCTGCAGTTCATAGGGGTGTACCTACCTGCAGCAGTCCCATGCAGAGCCAGAGTGTGGCAGCCAGGCCGTAGCGCAGCGTCAGGCTGTAGGGAGGGAAGTAGGACTGAGGGGGGCGCTGGAGATCTGACCATGGGTCCCTCAGGGCCAGACTGGAGAAGCCAACCACCTAGATACACAGGGAGAGAGAAAGAGAGCGCGAGAGAGTCACAGAGAGAGCGAGAGAGAGAGTGTTAAGAAAGTGATTTGAAATATAACAGGAGTGAGTGCTGCCATTTCTCTGAAGGGAAAGAACCAAAGAGAGAGGGAGAGGGAAGGAGGGTGTGTACCTCTAGTAGGAAGAGCACAGCCATGATCTGGAAGGTGGGGCTGATCTTGCGTATGGTCTGAATCTCATTCCACTCATTGGCCACAAAGTAGGTCCTCCAGATGCTGACAGGAGATGGGTCGCGCTTCGCCTCACCGTTGCCATCGCCTGACAACAACCCAAATTACTGCTCACTTCCATTTCAGAGAGACAGAGGGCTAAAACAACTTTCAGAGAAAAGGGGAAAAGGCGTTTCTTGACTACGTACCCTGGATGGTCTTGTTGGCTTTGCCGCGCGGTCTCTCCCAGTCTATGAAGAAGATATCCACTGACAACTGCTGGATCAGCTTATGGAGAAACTGCACAGTCTGGAGGAGAGGAAGACATTTTAGACCAGTGGTAATCAAACTTTTTCAGCAGGGACCCCTTTTCTTTCAGCAGGATTTCACGTGACTCACAAATCTAATGACCGATATTAACGAACGATATTGGCCTTTTGTTTTTACGATATATCGATATCGGCCGATAATTCCACCAATATTTTATAAATAGGATGAAAAAGGTAAATATGTTCCTTTTTCCCCCCAACTTTATTATTACGATTAGGAGGCTCAAACACAAGGTTACCACAGGAAAATGAGAATTCGCATTCTCAGCAAAATCTCTCACAGACCTCTCACAGTCCAAATGTGCATGTGCTTCAGGGAAGAGAACAGATCTGTGAAGTAGTACAGTGAAGGAGCGACTGCTCAGCTGCAGTGTTTTCCCTGTAAAATCCAAGGGTTATTATTTGACTGTGCGTGCATGTTTATATTAATATTGTGTTCCGAATGTTTGGTCAGAATCTGTGTGTGGGTTTGGGTGTGTGCATGTGGTGTTCAATCATGTGGTGTTCCTAGGTGTGGATTGATGAGGCCTTCAGATCTTCTCTTATGCCATTGGCACCTATGCCACCGCCTCGGGAAAAAATGTCATAAGATTTGTTTCATGAAATTGTGAAATAATACATTATTAGGATTCTTGGCATCATAACGACGATAGTCAGAGGAGTTGGACTGCAAGTTTCAACAGATTCACCTATATTAACAACAGCCCTATTTTCCTGACAGTTTTCCCATAGGTGTGCCACAAAGCGCAGCTCGGGATCCTTAGTGTTGGCACACAAAACAGAAAAGTCTTTGAATTTTGGAACTAGATGTTCATACACTTGTTTGAGTACGTTGCAGCATGTCATCCCACCCACCAGGGGGGACAGCCTGCTCGAGCTCTTATTACCATCATCTATGTCTAAGTTGGCTTTACGTGGTTTGAACAACCAATTGATATATTTACACAACCTTAAAATCTGTAAATGGCCATTTTTACACCAACAAATAACATTCCATTTATTTTGATCTCTTATTAAAAGTAAGAGAACCAATAAACACATTTACTAAATAACATTACATTTTTCAAATAATCTGTACTGTAATATTCCCCCCCAAAAAAGTATATAATAATTTCCCCATTTTCTTTTTAAATATATATATTTGTTAACGTGGTGACCCCACTGCAATTCCCCCGTGCCCACACTAGGGGTCACAGCCCCGACTTTGAATACCACGGTTTTAGACAAATAGAAACATACACATAACTCAAGCTATCAACAGGGTGGGAAGGCCTCACCTTGAGAGCGAAGGCACAGCCCACATACGCCATAAACCTCTCCTCCTGCGGACCTGGCAACGGTAGCAGCACTGACACAAAATGCTGGGCCTAGACAGACACACACACACACAGCATCAAACACTGCAGAAGAGGGAAGGAAGGGATGGGGGAGAGGAAAAGAGGAGGGGAGGAGAAGAGAAAGACTTGCCTCCACCGTCTGAGTGTGCAGCCCAGGTGAAGAGAGGAGAGAAAAACTTAAATAAAATCATTAATCCGTATAAATAGGAGTAAAGACTAGAGACAGGTCAGAGGTAAAGCTGTACAAGAGGGTGAAAGGTCTGCGGGGTCTCCGTCTACCTTATAGAAGATGAGCCAGTACAGGCCTGTTCCCACGGTGATGATGAAGAAGACATTAGCCAGATCACCAGCATAAAACAACAGGAACTTCAATACGGTCTGAGAGCAAGAAAAACAGAGGGGTGGGAGATGGAGTAAAATAGAGAGGGAGAGGTGGAGAGAGAGAGAGAGAGAACGGCAAAGAGAGAGAGAGGCAGAGAGAGAGGGGAGAGAGAGGCGGAGAGAGGAGGGAGAGAGAGGCGGGAGAGAGAGAGAGAGAGAGAGGGAGAGAGAGAGGCAGAGAGAGAGAGAGGCAGAGGGAGAGAGAGAGGAGAGAGAGAGAGAGAGAGAGAGGCGGAGAGAGAGAGGCAGAGAGAGAGAGGCAGAGAGAGAGGAGGAGAGAGAGAGGCGGAGAGAGAGAGGCAGAGAGAGAGGGAGGCGGAGAGAGAGGGGGAGGAGAGAGAGAGAGAGAGGCGGAGAGAGAGAGAGGCGGAGAGAGAGAGAGGCGGAGGAGAGAGAGAGAGAGAGAGAGGCGGAGAGAGAGAGAGAGAGAGAGGCGGAGAGAGAGAGAGAGAGAGAGAGAGAGAGGCGGAGAGAGAGAGGCGGAGAGAGAGAGGCGGAGAGAGAGAGAGAGGCAGAGAGAGGCGGAGAGAGAGAGGGGCAGAGAGAGAGAGAGAGGCAGAGAGAGAGAGGCGGAGAGAGAGGTCAGGGAAAAGATATGACAAACATGCAATTGAATTCTACAACTAAATAAATGCATTTGGGGGTTTAAGGGTTAAAAGTCAATGGTTACAGGTCAAAGGTCAGGTACCTCCATGTCAATGAGAGGAGATCCAATCCTCCTCTTCCAGCTGGCGGTCTTCACCAGGGAATACAGAACAGAAACGCCACCCAACACACCTAGGGCGATCTACACACACACACACACACACACTAATCATTATGGTCTTCACTATGTGCCTCCTGTAGCTCAGTTGGTAGAGCATGGCGCTTGCAACACCAGGGTTGTGTGTTCGATTCCCATGGGGGGCCAGTATGAAAAAATGTACACACTCACTAACTGTAAGTCACTCTGGATAAGAGCGTCTGCTAAATGACTAAAATGTAAAAACATGAAAATCACAACAGCATTACCCTTCTGGTTCTCTGCCCCCTGGTTACCATGGTTACTCACATCAGTCTTCATGTGAGCCTCAGTCTGGTCCATCTCATACTCCACAGCAAACGACACCTAGAACACACAGCAGTTACAGTGGGATCAGGGATGTGTGTGTGTGATGTGATAGGTGTGTGTGTGATGTGTTTGTGTGTGTGTGTTACTCACAGAGACAGTCTGTGTGTTTGGGTCAGTGATGAGGACATCTGAGTAGGTCACAGAGAGGAGAGGAGGGAACACCTGCCCCTTCTGAGTCCCTGGCACCAGCTGGAACCTATGTCACAAACACATCATGTTTTCACACCCTGCTAACATTGATGAATGCCCCACATGGATGTGTGTTTGTGCGTGCAACTCACCCAATCCTGATGCTGCTTGCGATGCGTATGACTTTTGGCAGAGAGCTGAGGCTCTTCTCTCTCCCACTCAGAGTGTCCACCAGTAACACACGCCTCGATAGGTACCAGTCGTTCAAGTTACCTACACACACACACACACATCAGTTATTCAAGATACTTGTTGAGGGAGAAAGGGTTTAAAACAAATGTACCCCCCCCACTCACCCCGGTTGATGAACTTCCTGTTGTATTCTTGGTTGAGGTTGCGTGTGGGGAGGGGGAGCAGTCTCCTGTCCTCTCCTCGGCTCAGATCCACAAACACATCGTAGAATAAAGGCTCAGCATACACACTCAACAGGTCTGCTATGGAGAGAACACACTACACACACACACACACGTAACAGAATAGGCGCTGAGTGAGAATGCGAAACAACTCTGTCACCATGAGAGAACACTACAACATGTGTTAAAGAGATCGAGACAGGGCTTGACTTGGACAGGAGCTCACTGGAGCCGAGTACCGGCACTTCACATGTTCTACTGCTTGAGCTCCTGTTCCTCGTATAGAATATTAACTCAAAAGTATTGTGGAGCTCCTGCACCTAAAGATAAACAGTAGCGGCACCCAAAAGGAGTCCCGGAACCTATTTCAGTCCAAGTCAAGCACTGGATAGAGATAGACACTCACAGTCTCCTGGTAGGCAGTGCCAAAGGTGTAAGCTGCCTCCTGTCTCCTGGCAGTGTCTGGACAGAGCTGGAAGAGGAGACATTTGTCACTTTCCTCATGTCAAAACTAATAATGATAATGACTGATCTATGACTGAGCTGTATCATGAAACACTGGTGTCTCAACACTGGAACCAACAGTGTGATGGAAAGAGGACCACCTTTAGGTTAGACTCACACAGGGCTCTGCCCCCACCCTCCGGTCGTTACAAATATTACTACAGTAGACAGCTCAGCTTGAAGGTCAATATGAATGTGAGTGATTATGAGACTACAAAGTGTGGCAATGCAAGACTAGCCTTCACTAGGCAGACTCATGATGAACTTCCTGTTTTACCTGCAAGTTGTTTCCTCCCACTTTCTCCCATTGGAGGAAGTCTCCTCTGGCGTTGTAGACAGCAGCCACTAGATTGATGTCTGTATTCTGAGAAAGAGTGACAACACACATAGAATCTGAGTAATCATCATAGGTGTTGTGGTAATAGTGTTGGGTCAATGTGTGTGTGTGTGTGTGTTACTGACCCTGTTGCGTCCCTTGAAGCTGAATCCAGTGGGAAGTGGCTCTGTCTGCAGCACGCGGTTGGCCAGACCCGGCTGGTCCCCGTAGTAAAGCCATGGGAGATTGGCTCTCCTAAAGTCACAGGGGCAGGAATGGACAGTTCCATTGACTGATCTACTCCAGCTTTTACATCATTGGTTCAAAACATGGGTTAGAGACTCCAGAGCAAGAGTAGATCTTTGGAAGGTGTTTTAGGGGTTATAGGTTAGGGGTCAGAAAAGGGGTTAGAGATTACCAGTAGGATATGTCCTGTGTAGACCCCAGGGAAGCGGTAGCTCTGAAGATGGTGTTGTAGAGACCACAGGCATCATTGGCCACGCTGCCGAAGGAGTGCATGTTCATCACACACATGTTCCCCAGTGCCTGGCATGCTGTCAGGTTAGTATACACCTGTACAATGCACACATACCAACACGGTCAGGTTAGAGAACACACACCACACACTGACAAGCGCACATAGATCGTACAGGGACAGAAAGGTGAACAGGTATTTGAGAGGTTTTATAATTTACCAAGCAGGCAGCTGCTGAAGAGTAGAGGTTTGTGGAGAACCATGCCGACTGCACAGGAATGGACTACAGGGGGAACATACCACAGAGAGTTTTACTATACCTCCACAGTAACATAATTACAGCAGACTCACTGATGCTCTGGCCCCAGTTTTTCAAAAAAGTTACAGTATCCATCTGGATTTTGCCTATCGGATAGGATTAAAGCATAGAAATAGAATGAATACAATGGAAGTCCCCATTCAAGTCAATGATTAATCCGTTCTATTCATTCAATTTCTATGCATTTAATCCTATACGATAGGCAAAATCCAGATAGATAACATTTGCCAAACTGGGTCAAAACTGACTTACCAGCTCAGCATAGTTGACGTTTGGGTTCACGGCTGTTTGGAGGTTGTTGGGAGGGAAACACAAACCTCCAGCCTGTAAAGAAACACGACATATGATTCACGGATGCTCTAGACTTGTGTTTCATTTTAAACCCATACATGACACAAATGCGTAGTATAGAGGGTGGGCTCACCAGGATGTTGGAGCCACACATACAGGACTGAGAGGTGTTGATGAAGGAAGCCTGGCATCTCTGACACCTGACAGAGACAAGAGAGCAGAGTCAGACATAGACAGACAGACGGGCATTAAACAGTTCAAGCAGCATAATCTGAATAAGTCATGCCATCAGAGTTTAGAGCAGAAACATCAGTTGTTCTGCAAGAAGACTTGGCTGTGTCTGGTACCTGTCTCCGTAGCTGTTGGGGGCTGAGAGGGCAGGTTCAGCTCCATTACACACCTCACACCTGGCCTCTTCCAGAGGGTTCCCCTTGACATCCCGCTCCACTACAGCACAACAACACAGCATTAGTATCACACAGCACCGCACCAGAAACACCATCACATCCCCTGTAGACGTGGCTCCTCTAGCTGCCGTCTCACCCAGTATACTCCCAGCTTTACTCACCCAGTATACTCCCAGACGGGCACTGACAGGTTCCCTGCTCAGTCAGACTGCCCGGACAGAGGATACACCCATAGCCATCCTCTGTTACTGCCTACAGGAGACGGGCAGAACAACACATGCAGTTCAGCACCAGTGGAGGCTGCTAAGGGGATAACGGCTCATAATAATGGCTGGAACGTAGCAAATGGAATGGCTTCAAACACATAGAAACCATGCGTTTGATGTATTTGATACCATTCCACTAATTCCGCTCCAGCCATTACCATGAGCCCGTCCTCCCCAATTAAGGTGCCACCAACCTCATGTGTTCAGCACACTTCCCAGGACAATCTGTATTGACTGAGACCTTTAAAAATGGTCGGTGAACGATAAGTAAATTGAAATAGCTGATATTGTAATGTATTATATGGTGTGATGTACTGTCTAGAAGTACAGAATCAGAACATACCCGTTTTTCTAGTGGACACTGCTGACAGGTGATGGAAGCTCCGTTGGTGGCAAGAACTCTGAACCCAGTCACACATTCACAAGACAGACCTGATGAAGGAGGAAAGGGTAATTGGTTAACACAAGAGATTATAACAGTGGACACAGCTGTAGGTTACGTTGTAAACCATCAGTGCACAATCAGAAAACAATATCTGCAGTAATCTTATTGACTGATGAACTAACGAACATAGTCTAAATGTAGGACAATGCAACAAATGCCAGGGCAAAATTGTCAGCTTTAGCTAGCAGGCCAGTTTACACTATATTAGCTGCATTATTATCCAATGTTAACTAGCTAGCTAGCCAGGTGGTTTACTGCAATACATTCCTCCCGTACGATTCGCTGTTGCTGTATTTAAGTACTATTTAGCAAAGATGGTTTAGCCTGTTCTATTATTACACGTAACGTTTTAAACAATACGGTTGACTCTACAACAAATCCGGACTGGCGTCGATTAGCGTACTGCTAATTAGCTAGCCAGTTACTCACAGTAACCAACAACAACACTAGTGATAAACGCACCCGTTGCACTCGTCCTCTGGTTCGGTCCGCATTTCACACAGGACAGACTGGAGATGTCGTAGAACTGTTCCACGCCGCAGTCTGCAGGACGCTGAAACGAAATCGTAAATTGCTGTGAGTGAAGTAGGTTTGATTTTATTGTTAGAAATAGTGCCAATCTGCAGATGTACACAAGTAGCGTCGCCATGGTGAGAAACTGACTTCCTGTTATTTTACCCACAACCCCTTCTGGCTTTTTGGGCGTGTGCTCGCGCCATTTTGACCGCGCCTCCCTCCCTCCCTATAAAACTGTGCGCATGCGGCAGATCATGCACAGAGTGTGGTCGGGCTCGAGAAGGCAACTTTTAGGTTGGTCAGCATCAAAGATAATTACGATATAAAGGTTAAAATACAAAGAAGCCAGAGTTTTTATGGTTAACATCTGGTGAGTAATTTGAGGAGTTGAGCTGTTTACATTTTTACTTGAAATATTCTTTAAAATGTCGTGGCACACTGTGCCTCCGGGCTAAGCCAACCAGGTGTTCTTCATAATAATCACCCATGTGCCAGCGTGCATCAGTTATCCTGTTGTTTACCAAACGTGTTCAATTTTAACAGAAATTCAGGAATTTGGAGAATATAAGCAATAATAATGTGCCCATTCAAATGTTTATCCTTTGTTGCTGTTCTTTGAATGTATTAAATAACTATATTTCTACTTCATGTTAAAGACTGTTTGTTTATCTGTTTCCAGATCTCTGGTTGCCAGGTAAAATAAGCAAAATATGACCATAGTACTTCGGTTGCAGGGTCTGAACATTGAGGCCGGGACTGAAGACATACGCAGATTATTTACCAACTTGTACATCCCAGAAGGTGGTGTATACATTATAGGAGGACACCTTGGTGAAGCGTTCATTGTGTTCACTACAAAGAGAGATGGCCAGCATGCAATGCGGCGCTCTGGAACTATTCTTCGAGGGTCTCAGGTGACCCTACATATTAGTAGCATCGCAGAACTGCAACGAAAAATGGAGTCCAAACTACAGAGGGAGAAGCTCCTTCCAGCGCTGTTACCTGAAAATAAGACTTTGCCGCCCCCGGAAGCGCTCTTGCCCGACCCTGTCACAGCCCTACTGATCGGCCTTGTTGCTGCTATCCAAGGACTGCAGTCTAATCAGCCAGGAGAGCACAACAATGCGGCAGCAGCACCTGGTCCTGTGCTCAGGGTCGATAGCACAGCTGTGCCTGTGGGTGAGGTAAGGAGACCAGAGGAGGCTTACAGGCCAAGGCCAGGCTACGTCAGGCTCTTTGGCCTGCCAAAGACTGTCACCAGGCAGGAGATCTGCCACTTCTTCAAAGGCCTGTTGGTCCAGGATGTGATAGCTAATGTGAAGCTGGGCATGAGCCATGGCTGCCTCGTAAAGTTTGGGCATGCCCAGGACGCATGTGACGCTCTGAGCTTCAACCACCAGCGACTGGGCCGCATCAGTGTGGAGGTCCGTGGGGCCTCTGAGGAATTGTGGCGCTATGCCATCCAGCAGTGTCAGAACCCTTCATATGACCCCTTGGAAAACCCCTTGTATAGCCCCACAACCCAGAAAGATAGAACCTCGTACAAATCCCAAGAAATACCCTCGTATACAATCCAGAGAGATGGACCCTCATTAGAATCAAAGGAAATGCAGCACCAAACCCAGGAAAGGGCAAGGCCCTCATACAGAACCCAAAGACAAAGCTTGTATGAGCCTGACAGAGAAACACCCATGACCTGGGCCAAGAGGCTCTCCGAGGACCGGTCGCTGTCACGGTCACCCAAGAGGCCCAGATCCTGTGAGTCCCTTTCGCCGAGCGTGGAGTACTGTATCATGGCGCAAAATCTATCCAAAACAATAACGAAGACTGAGATAAAAGAATTGTTTGGCTGTCCGAACATCGCCAACAGCAAAATATTACACTTACTGAATAAGGATAGCCAGAGGACAGATACAGCGTTTGTAGTATTCGACCAAACGGAAGACTACATTTATGCTTTGAACCTGAACGGCTGCCATGTTGGTTCCCAGGCCATAGATGTTTCCTCCGTCACCAAGGAGAAGATGCAAGCCATGTTGTCAACTGAAAGACACCATGGCAACCCCAAGACAACGCCAAAGGTGTCAGAGCGAAGCGAGGAGGAGAAACATCAGATTGAGAGACCCAGGGTGAGTCAGTTTCCCACAGGACAGACATGTGTTTACATACGAAACCTCCAATCAGATGTGACGAAAATGGAAATCAGAGATTTTTTCTGCGAGCTCCCTCTGGCTGAGCAGTTTATCTACATACTGCATGATCAAGAAGGCAACGGCATCGGTGAGGCCGTGGCTCAGTTTAAAACTGAGGATTTTGCTACACGGGCCCAGAAACAACATGGCAAGACATACATGGGGACCAGAGTGCTTCTCACCTGTATCAGCTTCCAGCAGATGGAGGACATATTGAAAAAGAATCCATGAGGAAAGACAACCTACTCATATTTACATTTTTGTCATTTAGTAGACGCACTTATCCAGAGCGACTTACAAGTGCATACATTTTCATACTTTTTCCCCCTACTACTTCCCCCGTGGGAATCGAACCCACAACCCTGGCGTTGCAACGGTCATGCTCTACCAACTGAGACATACTGGACAACTGTTGACCAGAGCCACATGGGGATCTGGTCAGAAGTAGTGGACTATATGAGGGATAGGGTGTCATCTGAGATAGGCCCTTAAACTCCAAAGATGGCACTTTAGGACTGAGCTTGTCACTGGAATGAGCATCTTTGAGTCGTAGTGGATTTGGGAAGTGTTACAACCCCATACCCTTCAGTCATCAACAGTTACATTTGGACAGCAAGTCTTCACTGGATATGCAGTCTGGATGTGAGTCAATATCCATTCACTGTTACTGAATGATTCCAACTTTAATTTCAAGACCTCCCATGGTACAGAGGCCCTTAATATGTACAGTGGGGAGAACAAGTATTTGATACACTGCCGATTTTGCAGGTTTTCCTACTTAAAAAGCATGTAGAGGTCTGTAATTTTTATCATAGGTACACTTCAACTGTGAGAGACGGAATCTAAAACAAAAATCCAGAAAATCACATTGTATGATTTGTAAGTAATTAATTTGCATTTTATTGCATTACATAAGTATTTGATACATCAGAAAAGCAGAACTTAATATTTGGTACAGAAACCTTTGTTTGCAATTACAGAGATCATACTTTTCCTGTAGGTCTTGACCAGGTTTTCACACACTGCAGCAGGGATTTTGGCCCACTCCTCCATACAGACCTTCTCCAGATCCTTCAGGTTTCGGGGCTGTCGCTGGGCAATACGGACTTTCAGCTCCCTCTATTGGGTTCAGGTCTGGAGACGGGCTAGGCCACTCCAGGACCTTGAGATGCTTCTTACGGAGCCACTGCTTAGTTGCCCTGGCTGTGTGTTTCAGGTCGTTGTCATGCTAGAAGACCCAGCCACGACCCATCTTATATAATATAATATATATAATATGCCATTTAGCAGACGCTTTTATCCAAAGCGACTTACAGTCATGCGTGCATACATTTTTTTTTGTGTATGGGTGGTCCCGGGGATCGAACCCACTACCTTGGCGTTATAAGCGCCGTGCTCTACCAGCTGAGCTACAGAGGACCACATCTTCAATGCTCTTACTGAGGGAAGGAGGTTGTTTGCCAAGATCTCGCGATATATGGCCCCATCCATCCTCCCCTCAATATGGTGCAGTCGTCCTGTCCCCTTTGCAGAAAAGCATCCCAAAAGAATGATGTTTCCACCTCCATGCTTCACGGTTGGGATGGTGTTCTTGGGGTTGTACTCATCCTTCTTCTTCCTCCAAACATGGCGAGTGGAGTTTAGACCAAAAAGCTCTATTTTTGTCTCATCAGACCACATGACCTTCTCCCATTCCTCCTCTGGATCATCCAGATGGTCATTGGCAAACTTCAGACGGGCCAGGACATGCGCTGGCTTGAGCAGGGGGACCTTGCGTGCGCTGCAGGATTTTAATCCATGACGGCGTAGTGTGTTACTAATGGTTTTCTTTGAGACTGTGGTCCCAGCTCTCTTCAGGTCATTGACCAGGTCCTGCCGTGTAGTTCTGGGCTGATTCCTCACCTTCCTTATGATCATTGATGCCCCACGAGGTGAGATATTGCATGGAGCCCCAGACCGAGGGTGATTGACCGTCATCTTTAACTTCTTCCATTTTCTAATAATTGTGCCAACAGTTGTTGCCTTCTCACCAAGCTGCTTGCCTATTGTCCTGTAGCCCATCCCAGCCTTGTGCAGGTCTACAGTTTTATCCCTGATGTCCTTACACAGCTCTCTGGTCTTGGCCATTGTGGAGAGGTTGGAGTCTGTTTGATTGAGTGTGTGGACAGGTGTCTTTTATACAGGTAACGAGTTCAAACAGGTGCAGTTAATACAGGTAATGAGTGGAGAACAGGAGGGCTTCTTAAAGAAAAACTAACAGGTCTGTGAGAGCTGGAATTCTTACTGGTTGGTAGGTGATCAAATACTTATGTCATGCAATAAAATTCTAATTAATTACTTTAAAATCATACAATGTGATTTTTTGGATTTTTGTTTTAGATTCCGTCTCTCACAGTTGAAGTGTACCTATGATAAAAATTACAGACCTCTACATGCTTTGTAAGTAGGAAAACCTGCAATATCGGCAGTGTATCAAATACTTGTTCTCCCCACTGTATATAATACCAATGGATGTATGCAGCAAATCATTCTACACCTGCAGGATGACTAAATGCATTTCAAAGTGTGTGACAATGTTTGAAAACCAGCAACAGTATATTAGACTATCTACAGGACAGCATTTCATTTGTCTTCTGACATTCCTTATTGTTTATTTCTTTATTGGAATCATATTACACAGAAATGACTCTTTATGAAACATTGTCAATATTTTTTTCACTAATTAAATGTTACCAAAACTACCTGATTTTGATTCAAACTCATTTTATTTATTATTAAACTGTTTTCAATTTCTAGTATGATAGTATGTCATTTCACTGCTTTTGATATGGTAGATTTAAGGTCATAACTTGAGCCAGCAACATTTCTCACACAGCTGGAGAAGCATAGACGGCACCCCTGAGAGCCAGTTAATTTTTTGTTACCTACTAACTCTGTTGGCTCAGATAAAATACTACTCCTGGAATCCCCTGGGTGATGCACAGTTCCAGTTTTACAGCAAAGGAACAAAAGCCACCATACAGTGCATTCAGAAAGTATTCTAAAATGGATTAAATACATTTCCCCCCTCATCAATCTACACACTATCCCTTAAAGACAAAGCGAATAGTTTTTTAGAAATGTTTGCAAATGTATTAAAAATAAACAGAAATACCTTATTTACATAAGTACTCAGACCCTTTGCTATGAGACTTGAAATTGAGCTCAGGTGCATCCTGTTTCCATTGATCATCCTTGATGTTTCTGCAACTTGTTTGGAGTCCACCTGTGGTAAATTCAATTGATTGGACATGATTGGGAAAGGCACACACCTGTCTATATCAGATCCCACAGTTGACATTGCATGTCAGAGCAAAAAGCAAGTCATGAGGTCGAAGGAATTGTCTGTTGAGCTCCAAGGCAGGATTGTGTCGAGACACAGATCTGGGGAAGGGTACCAAAACATTTCTGCAGCATTGAAGGTCCCCAAGAACACAGTGGCCTCCATCATTCCTAAATGGAAGAAGTTTGGAACCACCAAGACTCTTCCTAGAGCTGGGCAGAAGGGCCTTGGTCAGGGAGGTGACCAAGAACCCGATGGTCACTCTGACAGAGCTCCAGAGTTCCTCTGTGGAGATGGGAGAATCTTCCAGAACCCCAACCATCTCTGCAGCACTCCACCATTCAGGCCTTTATGGTATAGTGGCCAGATGGAAGACACTCCTCAGTAAAAGGCAGATGACAGCCTTTTGCCAAAAGGCACCTAAAGGACTCTGACCATGACAAAAATATTATCTGGTCTGATGAAACCAAGATTGAACTCTTTGGCCTGAATGCTATCTGTCTATCTCTGTTCTCTCCTCTCCGCACAGGCCATACAAACGCTTCACACGGCGTGGCTGCAGAAACTCTAATCTGGTGGTCCCTGCGCGCACGACCCAGGTGGAGTTCCAGGTCTCCGGTAGCCTCTGGAACTGCCGTTCTGCGGCCAACAAGGCAGAGTTAATCTCAGCCTATGCCACCCTCCAGTCCCTCGACTTCTTGGCGCTGACGGAAACATGGATTACCACAGAAAACATTGCTACTACTCTTTCCTCGTCTGATCATGTGTTCTCGCATACCCCGAGAGCATCTGGTCAGCTTGGTGGCACAGGAATCCTCATCTCTCCCAAGTAGACATTCTCTCTTTTCCCCCTGACCCATCTGTCTATCTCCTCATTTGAATTCCATGCTGTCACAGTCACTAGCCCATTCAAGCTTAACATCCTTGTCATTTATCGCCCCCCATCCAATCCTCATTTATTAAGTCAAATGACACCGCTGGTCCTGCTCACACTGCCCTACACTATGCTTTGACTTCTTTCTCCCCTCTCTCTCCAGATGAAATCTTGCGACTTGTGACGGCCGGCCGCCCAACAACCTGCCCGCTTGACCCTATCCCCTCTCTTCTCCAGACCATTTCCGGAGACCTTCTCCCTTACCTCACCTCGCTCATCAACTCATCCTTGTCCGCTGGCTATGTCCCTTCCATCTTTAAGAAAGCGAGAGTTGCACCCCTCCTAAAAAACCTACACTCGATCCCTCCGACGTCAACAACTACAGACCAGTATCCCTTCTTTCTTTTCTCTCCAAAACTCTTGAGCGTGCCGTCTATAGCCAACTCTACTGCTATCTCTCTCAGAATGACCTTCTTGATCCAAACCAGTCAGGTTTCAAGACTGGTCATTCAACTGAGACTGCTCTTCTCTGTGTCACGGAGGCTCTCCGCACTGCTAAAGCTAACTATCTCTCTTCTGCTCTCATCCTTCTAGACCTATCTGCTGCCTTTGATACTGTGAACCATCAGATCCTCCTCTCCACCCTCTCAGAGTTGGGCATCTCCGGCACGGCTCACTATTGGATTGCGTCCTACCTGACAGGTCGCTCCTACCAGGTGGCGTGGCGAGAATCTGTCTCCGCACCACGTGCTCTCACCACTGGTGTCCCCCAGGGCTCAGTTCTAGGCCCTCTCCTATTCTCTCTATACACCAAGTCACTTGGCTCTGTCATATCTTCACATGGTCTCTCCTATCATTGCTACGCAGACGACACACAATTAATCTTCTCCTTTCCCCCTTCTGATAACCAGGTGGCGAATCGCATCTCTGCATGTCTGGCAGACATATCAGTGTGGAAGTCGGAACACCACCTCAAGCTGAACCTCGGCAAGACGGAGCTGCTCTTCCTCCCGGGGAAGGACTGCCCGCTCCATGATCTCGCCATCACGGTTGACAACTCTGTTGTCCTCCTCCCAGAGTGCAAAGAACCTTGGCGTGACCCTGGACAACACCCTGTCGTTCTCCGCTAACATCAAAGCAGTGACCCGATCCTGTAGGTTCATGCTCTACAACATTCACAGAGTACGACCCTACCTTACACAGGAAGCGGCACAGGTCCTAATCCAGGCACTTGTCATCTCCCATCTGGATTACTGCAACTCGCTGTAGGCTGGGCTCCCTGCCTGTGCCATTAAACCCCTACAGCTCATCCAGAACGCTGCAGCCCGTCTGGTGTTCAACCTTCCCAAGTTCTCTCACATCACCCCGCTCCTCCGTACACTCCACTGGCTTCCAGTTGAAGCTCACATCTGCTACAAGACCATGGTGCTTGCCTACGGAGCTGTGAGGGGAACGGCACCTCCTTACCTTCAGGCTCTGATCAGTCCCTACATCCAAACGAGGGCATTGCGTTCTTCCACCTCTGGCCTGCTGGTCCCCCTACCTCTGCGGAAGCACAGTTCCCGCTCAGCCCAGTCAAAACTGTTCGCTGCTCTGGCAACCCAATGGTGGAACAAGCTCCCTCACGACGCCAGGACAGCGGAGTCACTGACCACCTTCCGGAGACACTTGAAACCCTACCTCTAAGGAATACCTGGGATAGTATAAAAGTAATCCTTCTAACCCCCCCCCTATGAACGGAGCAAAGTAGAGCGATCCTTGATGAAAACCTGCTCCAGAGCGCTCAGGAACTCAGACTGGGGCAAAGGTTCACCTTCCAACAGGACAACGACCCAAAGCACACAGCCAAGACAACACAGGAGTTGCTTCGGGAAAAGTCTCAATGTCCTAGAGTGGCCCAGCCAGAGACCGGACTTGAATCCGATCAAATATCTCTGGAGAGACCTGAAAATAGCTATGCAGTGACGCTCCCCATCCAACCTGACAGAGCTTGAGGGGGATCTACAGAGAAGAATGGGAGAAACTCCCCAAATACAGGCATACCAAGCTTGTAGCGTCATACCCAAGGCTGTAATTGCTGGGAAAGGTGCTTCAACAAAGTACTGAGTAAAGGGTCTCAATACTTATGGAAATGTGATATTTTTTAAATGTTTAATACATTTGCAAACATTTCCAGAAACCTGTTTTTGCTTTGTCATTATGGGGTATTGTGTGTAGATTGATGAGAACTATTTAATCCATTATAGAATAAGGCTGTAATGTAACAAAATGTGGAAAAAGTGAAGGGGTCTGAATACTTCCCGAATGCACAGTACATCCTGGGATTGCGTTCAGGCCCAGCCAATCAGAATGAGTTTTAAGACAGAAACACAGCTGTCGGGGTGCCTGGTCTCAGATGATCCCGCAGGTGTAGCCGGATGTGGAGAAAACGAGGATGACCAACTTAAACAGCATTCAGTACGTCAGTAACCCTTTTACCTCCAAACATATTTTTCCCTAAACATTTGACACTTATTCTCTCAAACGTAATTTCTAAACACAACACAAGATATATCCAAGAAACCCCAGTAAAATATTTACCAAAATCACATACGAATACAGACAATGGTTAAAACTAAAAGTCAAACTTTGGTCTAACCTATTAATGTCAAAAGAAAAGTTATTATAAAAACAAAGTCTGCACTAATAAGTACACAATTGTTTAAGAGTTTCTGCTTTGAAGGAAAATTATAACTATAAAAAAAAACAAATCCTCTGTTCAGTGGCTAGACAGACAGCTGCAGACCCCATGGACTCTCAGGGTATATCTTGGGGGGGTGAGGCGGAGGTGGTGGATGGGTTACCCCAGGAAGATGGTTGTGTCACGTGGGGATGGATCAGTTAGTTGTAGTACCTGGATGGACCATCAGAGTATCTGGAAGGGCCTGCAGAGAGGAGATAAAATAGATGACTGATGTACTGTAGATTATTTCTGAACAAAACTACAGCCATTAAAAGGCTGGACGTGTGTGTATTTAATTTGTTGACCGAGGCTGTGCGTACCGGAGAGGTTCCCAGAGAGGCCACCTGAGAAGCGGTCACTACCGCTAGACATTCTGGGTGAATCGGAGTAGCTCATGGAGCCCAGCGACGAACTGCTCTTCATACTAGGACCCTGCTGGAGACACAAACGCACATACACTGAATAAAGAACAACATCAAAGGCGACCAACTACTGAGGAATTCTTTGTGGTTTCCTGAATCACATCATCTACCTTACATCTATGGGAGTACAATAGGAACAGGTTTAGCCACAGTAAGGAGGAGGTGGGATGTTAGGATGCATTTGGGGAGAGAACACAGAAGGTTCTAGAGCACTACCCTGTAATGCCATAATCAACAGCAATAAATCAGTGACTGAACACACAGCCAGACAGGAAGTGGGTTACAGGGCTCTGTATCAAGTCTGCCATTTACCCTCACGTCACCAGTTCCTGTTGCAGGAAGCACCTGAGAGCTGCATGTTACACTGGTACTGCAGCTGACATAGAGCGTGGTGTGTGTGTGCGTTGCATACCGAGGAAACACTCCTAAGTCTGTAGTCCATCAGGACGTCTGTCAGCTTCTGTGTCACCTTCAGTACGATCTGAGCATCGCCCTCATTCTCGATCTGGAAATTGTCCTACACACAGGAATCAGACACTCAACACACAGCACGTTTAAATAACACGAGAAAGCGTAGTCTCACACAAGTGGTTCCACCCACCAGGTATTTGAGCAGTGTAGAGGGAAGGCTGCTGCTTTCTGGTACTGCTCCCATCAACCCCTGACCTGATCCATTCCCCATCTGTCCCCCTCTGAACTCCTCAGGGTAGCGGCTTCCCGGACTCTCCCCCAACAGCCCACCCTGGCCAAAGCCCCCGTCCCTTCCCCCTCCCAGCCCAAAGCCATCGGCTGAACCACCCAGCCTCTGACCCCCTATATTGTCAGGGTAGCCTCGGAAGCTGGAGCGAGACAGGGGGTCAGAGTAGCCCCCCATACCACCCATGGGGTAGTCGAGGAGGCCGTCTTGGAGAGGGAACTCCCCTGGGAACAGAGGCTCTGCAAACCTGCCACCTGGAGGGAGACAAAATAATGCATTTGGACTAGTAAACAACACTGCATCCCAACATACCCCAGTCAAGCTCACAACAAAAGTCTTATCACCTCAGTAATCTCTGTTAACCCGGAAGTAAAATCTTGTGTAATTTGGTCAGCTGCGTGATTAACTTCTGTATTTATACGCGTTAGAAATTGAGAGTTACGACAAAAGGATGTCTCAACCCTAGCAAATGGAAACTCTCAACTAAAGCCCGCCTCAACGCGCAAAGGACTCGAGGCAAAGCAGTTTAAGCACCGCCTTCGCCCAATCCCGATACGGACAAATAACCAGTGACGAAAAACACAAAACCGGAACTAATGCTGCTCGGATCTCACGCATCCCATTCAGTCCTTGCAGATTATCTCGGTCTACATTCAGAATCTGCCCACGGGAGATTATCACCTTCCACTTCTCCCCACACACGCTCTCACCTGGTTTTGGTCCTCTAGGTTCCCATCCCTCCTGGAGGCCCCATGTTGGGGATTGCTGAACCTGTGATGACAGGGAGAGACGTCAGAACCACAGTACATCTAAAAGCAGACTGAGCACAACGAGATTCAGGCATACAATAACTTGAGAATAAACAGAAAGACGTACGTAGTCCTGCGAACGCTTGGACCTCACTGGGCTCCTTCAGAATCACCTGAAAGATCATACAGAATCAAGTCAATAACCAACAGCAATATATTTCCCCCTGACGCATCTCAACAGTCTGCCGTGTCTTCTCTTCCTCTCCCCCTTCTCACCTTTAGCTGTCCCCTGCCCTCTCCCCCTTCTCACCTTTAGCTGTCCCCTGCCCTCTCCCCCTTCTCACCTTTAGCTGTCCCCTGCCCTCTGCCTTCTCCAGCTCTGCTGCTGCTTCTTTCACCTTCTTCCTCACTTCATGGTCCTTTGTGGCAGCATTCTCCGCAAAGGGCATCTTGGCAGAATGGTTTTGCTTCTGGAGAACAGATGAGGCCATACAGTTATACAGCATCATAACACAGACCTGTAGTTCCAACAGCCTTTTACAGGGACTTTTACTGTGAAAGTTTACAGTGACACACACACGGGGCCTCACCATGTATCTGAAGGAGTGCTTCCAGCCCTTGATGTGAGCCAGCATGTCAGTCTGCAGATGGCTCACCTTGCAGAGTTTACACTGGTAGTGGGGCGGGACTGACTTACTGGGGCTGCGGTACTCCCACACATATTGAAGACCTGCAGGACACGAGTGACAGCTCACACAACCAACCATGGGCAGGGAAAAATCCACAACCAATCACAGAGCCCCATGAAGCCTATATTAGTGAAAGAGTGCAATGAAGTGACTTGACTTAAACCTCTTGGACCCTTTGGGCATAGGGCGTCTACCATGGTGCAATGGAGTAGGTACTCACCAATGACTGTCTCACCAGTGATGGCCTTCAGCTGTTTGGTCAAGGAGGGGATGGTCTGGACCTTTCCCGCCTTGGTGGTGAACACTGGGAAATGCACAGAAGTCAACACACAAAGCGCAAACACGGCAGAGACTGCATGATGAGATCGCCATCCTGCCCACGGACAGGGGAGACCAAAGAGTCCACGCGTCCAGTCATCTGACCAGCAGACAGCCAATAGCCAAAGAGCCTCATATTTCAGGAAGTGAAACACTGCAGGTATACTTCAAAAGAAGGTATAGCTTTAAAAATGTCAGTGTGCATTCCTTACACAAACCCCCAGTCAAAAGACTTTTAGTGGAGTTTAGTGGTCCTTCATTTACTGAACAACAGTTAGAAACACAATCTCTGCTCTTCTGAGCCTCTGAGTCCCATTTCCAGCCGCGCATCATCGACAACATCTGGTAAGAATCCTTAACATTTGTGCGCTAGGTTAGCTTCTGCTAAAAACACAGATTGGTTGGGAGTTCTGGAATCACCTGCTCTGGCTGGTAATCAAAGATGCTGGTAATCAAAGATAACTTCCTCATTTGATTCTCTGTGTGCAATTCGAGCCCCACCTTCACGAGATTCATTAGAAGGTTGCCCGGAAGGCACACCAGGGCCTGTTTCATGCAAGGGTTATAGTACTAACCACGACAGAGAAGAGAAGCTTATCTGAGGTATGGAGGCCTGCTGAAAACCATGGGGGCTGTAGTTCTTCTACCCACCTAGACACAGGTCAGAGCTGGGCTATAGGATTCTCTCACTTCCATCAGGCACTGCTCCATACCTGTGTCCAATCAAAGCAGTGCAACTCTTGCATGAGCACAGAGGAACCCAGCCCCATTGGCAGGCAGTGAATTGAGAGAAACACTTCCTACTCTTTGAGGGCCACAAAGGCCCCGAAAGAAAATCCTGCTGCCAGCATCCATTTCCCATCTGAACTACTATAGGCCTATGAGGCCACATGTTTTAGCCGGGGGCTGATAGCCCTAAATTGCATGGGGATGGAGTATCCGATCTCATCCACCACCAACGTGATGCACGGCAGTCATGTGGCCCCACAACATCTGACCCAGACAGGACCCTTAGTGATTTGACCTGCAACAATATGGTGCAACAGCTCTACGGGACTGCAGAGAACACCTGCACACCTATGAGGACAGGTTCGAGGTTGTGGTTTCTAGCATTGTTCAGACTGTAAATCATGGACCAAAGTGTTTTATGAAATAAAACTACTTTTAATGCATCTAAAAAGATTTGTGCACATTGTATCAAAGACAGACCTTCCAGAAAGTCATTGAAATGAACACTAGGGAAAAGCCCTTGTGAGCCACACAGCCTAAGGCCGTGGACAGTGACTTGAAGTTGACTAGCATTTACAGCGACCTCTAAGAGGCAGTGAATCTCAGACGCGCCCAGAGCCCACGCTTGGACTTGCCCCCTGCCCAATCAGCCACCAGCAAAAAAGTGAAGTCACAGCTCCCAACCTCCTATCAGAGGCAGCGATGCTGTGTGGAGGCAGAACTTACCTATGTCAGCAGAGAAGTTAGGCTGCTTTCTCTGTCAGTTGGGATAACCAGGCCGAAGGAGAGAGAGACAGACAGGCATTAGTGAGACAGGAGGAGGCAGCAGAGGGGTAAACCCCACTGCACTGTTCCCCAAACAGTGGGTCAGGACCCCCTAGAGGGTTGCAGCTTAAGATAGGGTTCTGGATAGAAACATTGATTTGGTTTAAGCAAAAGATTCAGGTGGACCACAGCACAGAAACATTGGTTTGGTTTAAGCAAAAGCTTCAGGTGGAACACAGCAGAAAAACATTGGAGAACCCTACTGCACTCCCGTCTCTATGGAGAGAGAGAGAGAGGTCATTTGTAGCTCAGCTGGTAGAGCACGGCGCTTGTAACGCCAAGGTAGTGGGTTCGATCCCCGGGACCACCAATACAAAAAAAATGTATGCACGCATGACTGTAAGTCGCTTTGGATAAAAGCGTCTGCTAAATGGCATATTATTATTATTATTTCAGCCTCTCCTCAATGACCCTGTCAGTGACATGAGGGAACTCTTGAAACGAAAGTACAAGTACTCTAGTCAGGTGTTCCAATCAGAATCTAGCTCTGTCACAAAGGGCATCATAGAACCAAGCTGCCAGTGAGCCCTAGTGCTTATAACGCAGCAGGAAAATAAATGACTTGAGCTATGGGGACTGACAGCCCACTGAATAGAAAGAGGGCATGGGATTGCCCAGAGAAAACACCCAACCCCTGTTACCCTCGTTAGTCGCAGCCCTTCTACACTTGGTAACAGAGTTAACTGGAATTCCTGCTGCCCACAATACTCTTTAGCATCCAGTAGTCATGGGGTAACTCAAGCCCTGATTGAGGGGCAGTGCAGCAAGCTGCGTCTCCACAGAAACACTAAGTCTTAGGAGACCAGGGAGCTCTGATCAGACCCTGCTACTCCAGCAGTGTCCAGCCAAGGGCGGCTAGTGAGGGTCCATACCACTGCCACAACTTCAGGAATTAAACAGGTTAGAAGACCATACACAGAGAGTACGTACACAGTACTACTCTCAAAACCACTGTTTTGGATTCCTTTTTATCACAATATACACTATTCAGGATGGGATTCATCAACTTCATCTGGGTTGTGAATGACTAGAAATACAACTATAATCCTAACCTAATATAACTGGGGACAATTGGCATGATTACCATGGGAGACTGACTTACCCTGTTGTTTGCCCCTCCATTAGCGTTCCTGGACCTCTTTTGTGGTGGAGCGCCATAAGATGGCCTAGGAGTGTTGCTTTGCTGCATTCTGAGGGTCAACAAAACAAACAAATAAAGACAGCGTTTAATATCTAGCTAGATCGTCCACATTTTTGTTTAGGGCGACTAATAAACACACAACGCAGCTGGCCTTGTTGTGGGCAAAACCACTTGGCCACGCACGGTGGCAAAGATGGTGATTAGCTAGCTGCAGCCACAAGATAGTAACGCTACCCGGACAACGTCCTCCATGGTTACTATAGAAGAAATACGGTGTGGTATGGAGTGACATGAAAAACTGTACCTGAAAAATTAAGATTCGCAAAAGCAAACCAGAGCGGGGTGAATTTTGCGGGTCAAGAAGAAAGAACAACTAGCAAATTCACGCACGCGCAATTGTGTACCTCTTAATAGAAACACCCGTGACGTATCTGATTTTGTGAGCCTATGCGTTTGCCTGTGTAATCGAACTTGGAAATGTGAGTTCAAATTAAAAAAACATATTAAAACATAATAGTGACACTACTTTTTCATTTGGAATGCATCCATTACACAAGTTGCAATAAAACACACATATTTGTATGCGTGAAATTGAGAACAGGAAAAAACAAACAAAAAAGTTGCAGGCAAATGTGAAGACAGCTTAGCTACTTGTCGTATCAAAGAGAGAGGGCCCTGTTTGTAAAGAAACAACACGAGCTTGGTTTTGCTGATTTACACTCTTCTAAAGCTACATAAGGCGGGGAACACTGCTGCATGCACAATTATTTTTGACAGTGTTAACACACGTGGGTATTATTATTACGTTTCAAAACGCAATAAATTATTCTGGGTTTGCTGCGCATATATTCTGTGTAAGAGGCGATAGCTTGCTAGCTTGCAAACTCACTGCTGCCCACTATGATTGTGGTCTCCTCCTGGTCCAGCACTAGCACACAAAGTTCCTTCGTTATTGTGTGTGTCAAATGGCATCATATTCCCCATATAGTGAACCACTTCCTCAACATCAACCCTGTATGGCTCTGGTCAGAACAGAAGTAATGCACTATATTAGAGAATTGGTTGCAATTTAAGATGTTCCCCATGTTTCTCTCCACATATAGTCCTATCCTGCAGCGATGACCAAGTGCAAGAAGAAGAAGAGGCAGGATGACTTCCAGAAGGTCAAGCTGAAGGTGGGGAAGACTAAGCCTAAAGCTGGCAACGCCACCAACATCAACTTCCGCACCAAGGGAATAAACCTAACTGAACAGCTGAAGAAAGATGCTAACGCACCCACCACACACAGGAAGCTCAACATCAAGGTAGGTAACACACACACACACACACACACACACACACTCCTCTACTGTACCTTATGCTGTGTGCCTCCCCTCTTCTAGGACCTGTTGTCCCAGCTGCATCACTACAGTGGTACAGTGAAGCAGGGAGCTCTTGTGGGACTGAGGGAGCTGCTGACCCTTCACCCCTCCGAGTTAGATCAACACCTCTCCAGTCTGCTCAGCGAGGCCGCTGCCGTCTTCACAGACAAGGACCCCAATGTACGGATGTCTGCCACACGTCTGCTCAGGTTAGAAAAGTATTTTGTTATGACAGTGGGAATTTGACTTCAGGTCTGTTCCCCAACCCCCACAATACCATAAACCACTTGAGAACAGCACAGTCCTTGGAGAAATGCATTAATGCCAGTTCCTCTCCTACTGTCGCACCTTCCTACCCAATCTGGGATTGGAACCAGAAACTCTCTTGCTACTAGTCCACCTCCCTAACCTTTAACCTCTACTCTCTCCGTGCCCGGCCCAGGTTCATAGCCCAGAGTGTGCCAGCGGAGCGGACGTCTCCATTCTTCCCTCTCCTCTCTGCCCACCTCTCCTGTGCCATGACCCACATCGAGACAGGCATCCAGGAGGATGCCCTGAAGGTCCTCGACGTTCTGCTGGACCACTACCCTGCCCTGCTGGCCGCTCGTCCCGCCCTGCTTCTCACCAACTTCCTGGAGCTGATTTCACACAGAAGCACTGGGGGCGGGGCCAGGAAGGGGCAGGAGGGGAAGGGGAGGAGCTGGGCCCTGTCAGTCAACCCTAACAGGAACGTGACTGGTCAGCAGTGGAGACTCACCGTGCTGTTCAGGTACTTACACACATGCATACACTTGCAATGAGCAGTATCCTAATGGTGTGTATATGTATTTTTCTGTCATCAACTTTGTGTTATGTGTTTTCCAGACTGGGGCGTTTTCTTCAGGCGGTAGTTGAGGAGAGGCGAGGGGAGGAGGGGGTTGCGTGTGTCTCAGGTGACATGTTCGGTGTTTTGAATGGACAAGGAGGAGCTAACGCACCTTTGGAGCTCAACTGGGAGGAGCTTACCTACGGAAAAGGCGGATTCCAGGTGTTTGAACATTCAGGAGCCATGCCCACTCCGCACTCCACCTTCAAACTCAGGTACGCACATCACACACACACACTTCGTTAACAAGCATACACACACACATACTCTGCTGACTCTCCTGCTCATCATCTGTCCCTTTCCTCCACTGTGTTTGTAGGCCGGAGACTGAGCCTGGGGCTGGGGTGAGTGAGGGGCTGGGCACAGGGGAGGCTGTGCGGGGCTTTGCCTCCACCCTGGTGCCCCTTCTACTAGATGTCTGGGTAGAGGCTAGTGCCAGCGACCGGAGCAAGACTGACAGTGCTCATCTCCTCACCCCCGACGCCATGTCACTGATGTACCAGGTCCTCTCCATACTACAGCTGCTACGCAAGCTGGCGCCACAGAGAGAACACCAGGATACACTGGTAACCACACACATATGATCTCTCTCAGTATAAGATGTGTGGTTACCTTTGTTCTATTAACAGTGGTGATTGTGTGTTTAGGATGCGTGGTTTCGCAGTGAGTACCTGGGGGATTTTAAGCAGCACTTCATGAAGAACTTCCCCTATGGAAATCTGGACACCCCTAAACAAAGGAGGAAGACAGACCCCAAGAGGTGAGGTGGTGCTAGGACCCTTGGTGTATGTGTAGGGACTCCAGCTTTTCCCAAACTAGGGGTCGCTACCCCATATGTGTCGCCTGATTTGAAAATCGGGTCGTGAGAGAAACACTGGGGGAAAAAACATCTAATCTATAGTCAACTGAATGCGCCGCTTAGTCATAGAACAACGGTTAGGGGAGTAACTGTAAATTTCAGCTATTAGCGGTTAGGACAATCAGCGGTTTCTGTTTTCTTCCTACAAATTTAGCTCTAACCTTTGAACAGTTTGAGCTATTAGCAATTATGATATATAATATCGTGGTCCTCTGTAGCTCAACTGGTAGAGCACGGCGCTTGTAACGCCAAGGTAGTGGGTTCGATCCCCGGGACCACCCATACACAAAAATGTATGCACGCATGACTGTAAGTCGCTTTGGATAAAAGCGTCTGCTAAATGGCATATTATTATTATTATTATATCAGCACAAAATGACTGGGGGGTGGGGGGGGTGGAGAACATAATTAAAAGTGTGTATTTGGGTGTGGTATGTCAGGAGTAAACAGGCACCTACAATCCCAGGGCAGACAGTGGAACCCTTGGCTCTGAACGTGCTGCTCTGCCAGGTCATGGTTTCCATGGTTACCCTCAGCCAGGGGGAGGGGCCAGCCCAGGAACCCGACGCTGAGTGGCTGATGCCTCTGAGGGGGTTTGTCCAAGAGACCATGTCCAGTGGGGCCAAGCTGAGCCAAAGACACCTACACACACTCCTGGAGACTGTCTGGAGAATGGTCACCACACAACGCAGCAGGGGTAAGACTGTCTGTGTGTGGGCTGTAAAAGGGTGCGGTTATGAACTAATCTTAAATTGTTTTCAAATGTCTGGTGTCCTAACCGTTGGTGTGTGTGTAGCGGTGACGGAGGACCTGTTACAGGCGGTGTATGTTCAGTACCAGCAGATGAACCTGAATCTGCAGACCAGAACACTGCTACTTTCCTTCTACAGCAGACTGTACCTACAGGAACACAACCACACACACATCGCCAGGTAACACACACACATTCTAGTGTTTACTGTACCAAATAACCAACGATATATGTAGGCATAACCAAGTCTGGAGTAGACTACTCTGCTCCTAAAACTCTTTCTTCCTCTTCGGTCTCTCCCTTCAGGAGTAGAGTGTTGTCTCGGTGGCTGGCAGCTCTGCCGCTCCAGTTGTCCCAGCTGGGCCACCGTAACCCCGCCCTCTCAGACAGGCTCCTCCTCTCCATCCAGGCTGCTGCCTCCCGGGGGAACAAGGCCCTGCTGAACTCCCTACGCACACACGCATGCAAGCTCTACGGTGAATACGCACACACACACACACACGCATGCAAGCTCTACGGTATATGCACAAAAACATACACGTAAAGCTCCACTCATAACAGTCGGGCAGATCGTATTAAACAGGTAGTCACTAAATGGTCATGCTGGAAAAGACACAAGTGAAGATGTACCTTTTGGAGCTGTTTTCTATGTTTCTCCACTGGGGGGCAGTAGAGGTCCATCTGAACTCCATAGTAGGAGACTGGGACAGGGAGGGAAGAGGAGAGAGAGGGTAGCATGTTATACAAGCTAGAGACAAAGGTTGGAGGGAGTATGAGGTTGTGGGTGGAGGGGGCACCTGTGTTGTAATATAAGCTAAGACAGAGCTGGTGAGGGGGTTTGTGTTGTGATAAAAGGCCCCAGAGAAGACAGAGCTGGGGAGGGGGTTTGTGTTGTGATAAAAGGCCCCAGAGAAGACAGAGTGGGCGATTCACCATCACAAGACTCCGTTTGTCTGAACGGTCTGTGACATCAGCAACGTGCGTCAGCAGCCAACATAACAGAACACAGTACTATCTGATCGTTTCTGTTCTCTCTCTTTCACTCTCTCTTTTATCTCTCTCTCTGTTTGTTTGATTAATTTTTTCTTAGACCATAAACTGGTGATGGATAGTCGATTCACTCTTTTACGTCAACATTAGCTCCTTGTTGCTAGGTAAGGTGTGTGTGTGGGTGTTTACAACATCAAAGTCCTGGATAGGTAAAGGAGTGCAAGCTTTTGTTCCAGCCCAGCACTAACACACCTGCTTCAGCTAATCAAGGACTTGATGATTACATATGATTGTAATAATAGGGTTTGTTGGGCTGGAACTAATGGTCTCCAGGACCGGAGTTGCCCTCCTCTGCTACAGTGGATGAGCTGTAGTTGGTGTTGTGTAGAGCAGCCAAACTGGTGAAAAAATACTACAGTCAGAACTTTAACGACTTAAACGAGGTAGAAAGTGTGTAGAATTGATAATGAATTTACATTTCTAAATAATTTAATCTCGGAACAATTTTTTTTCTTCAATCACAGTATTTTTAATATAAAGCTTTTAGCGGCGCCATTTTGGTTGGTTTTGTGGTCTCGAACCAGTGAGTTTATTTAAATTCTTAATCAAGAATATGGGCAACATTTTATTATTGAGAATGAAAGAGATGGGAATGTTATTCCCTTGTCATATAATTTCTACATTTAATATCAATATAGAATAAAAAATAGTTTCCCAGATTGTATTTGTACGATTATTTTTGGGTCCCGATACAACCAGTTGAGAACCACTGGTGTAGAGTGTGTATATTGACGTGTGTGTGTGTGTGTGTGTAGACCCACAGGAGGGCAGTGTGGTATTATTACCGGCTGAGTCTCAGCAGCGATTGGTCCAGCTACTCTACTTCCTGCCTGTGATGTCACAGGGTCTGTTGGCCAATCTGAGTCGCTGCTGCACTGCGGGACGCGTCTCTGCTGGCCTGGCTGCCTCCCTCATACGCATCATACACCTCAGGTAACCCCAGCAACCTCCCAAAGCTACAGATTGAGGTCATAAACTCTGTCACTAACCCAGTGTTTAAACTTAAACAACGTTTGACCGTTGAGGTTTCATCCTCAAAACATTTAGTTGATATCCAGGGCAGACCAACATCACATGGCCTTTACTAACCCCAGACGGTTTAAAATCTTTTAACTTATTGCGCTTAAACTTTTAAACATTTTCTAAATATAATTTTCAATTCATAAAACTATTTGTGTGTGTGAGCTGTCAGTCGTTCCTGGTTAGAGAGAGGAGACAGCAGACCGATGGTTTGCCAGCTTAATGGAATCAAACAATTAACCAATTAAGACACGTCGAGGGTCGTGGCACAAGATCAGTGGCACATGCTGGACACACACACACACACACACTCTCTCTATCTCTCTATCTATATATCTATCGATCTACACAAAGCAGAGCAGAGTCTTGAGCTCATGGGTTATAACCAGGCCTGGCACTTAGTTCACTAGACATAGGCCTTTAGATGGCAGTGTTGGTCCTTTTAGTGTGTGTGAGCATAAGCAATGTTCTGCTGTTTGGTCATGCTGTGGTTTGGCAGTGATTTCTCACACACATCCGGTCTTGCATAACGCTATGATGTCATCAATGTGCATCGCCAGCAGGTGTGTGTGTATTTGTGAGACACCCAGTGTTTCCTGTGTGTCTCTGGGGCAGTGTTACACACACCCGACTAGGGGTTGGGGCAGTGTGTGTAGACTGGGGGTTGGGGCAGTGTGTGTAGACTGGGGGTTGGAGCAGTGTGTGTAGACTGGGGGTTGGGGCAGTGTGTGTAGACTAGGGGTTGGGGCAGTGTGTGTAGACTGGGGGTTGGAGCAGTGTGTGTAGACTGGGGGTTGGGCAGTGTGGTGTGTGTAGAGACTGGGGGTTGGGGGCAGTGTGTGTAGAGACTGGGGGTTGGGGCAGTGTGTGTAGAGACTGGGGTTGGGGCAGTGTGTGTAGAGACTGGGGGTTGGGGCAGTGTGTGTAGAGACTGGGGGTTGGGGCAGTGTGTGTAAGACTGGGGTTGGGGCAGTGTGTGTAGAGACTGGGGTTGGGGCAGTGTGTGTAGAGACTGGGGGTTGGGGCGTGTGTGTAAGACTGGGGTTTGGGGGGAGTGTGTGTAGAGACTGGGGTTGGGGCAGTGTGTGTAGAGACTGGGGGTTGGGGCAGTGTGTGTAGACTGGGGGTTGGGGCAGTGTGTGTAGAGACTGGGGTTGGGGCAGTGTGTGTAGAGACTGGGGGTTGGGGCAGTGTGTGTAGAGCTGGGGTTGGGGGCAGTGTGTGTAGAGACTGGGGTTGGGGCAGTGTGTGTAGAGACTGGGGGTTGGGGCAGTGTGTGTAAGACTGGGGGTTGGGGCAGTGTGTGTAGCACAAAGGTTTCTTTGGGAAGTGGAATGTGGCAGAGACGTCATGGAACGATGGCACGTCTCTTATGTTACAGAACACACCATTTATTTATCTCTAACCCCCCCCCCCGTCTTCTTCACACACACACACACACACACACACACACACACACATACACACACACACACACACACACACACTCTGCTCGGGGGAAACTACATTCTGTGTAATGTGGTCAGTTCCAGATACGCCTACAGAAATGGACATAAGTCTGACCCATATAATCAGAAAACTAACTGGAACAATCCTCCATCCTGTAAGATGACTTTTGTTAGGCTCTATCACTCAACCAACGCTCCATACCGTCCTCTTTCTCAGTCCATTCTAACCTATTTGCATGTGCGTTTCAGGTCCTCTTTGAGTGGCTGGTCAGTAGGGTCTCAGGACGCGACCCTGCGTGATGTTGACTACATCAGCTTCCTGTTCTCCACCCTCACAGGTCAGGCTCCGCCCACACACGTCTCACTGATATCTGGTCATCAGATGTGATCAATCTTCAGGTTCGTGAAGAAGTACTCTCCAAGGAAACTGACCAATCTTTCTCTCTTTCAGGGTTTTCATCTGATGAGTTGGCCACCCTGCAGGAGGCTGGGGATGAGAGTGTGCTCCCTCCCTCCCCCCTCTCCCCCCTCAGCCTGTACCCCACCCCCCTGGAGCAATTCACACACCACTGGGACGTTGTTGAGGTCAGGAAACACCTACCAGGGCTTTATAAGTGACTGTTGTGACAGAAAGAGGAAGAGAGGGTGAATGAGAGGGCGAGATGGAGAGTAGAATGTGAAAAGAGGACAGCGACCGAGATGGAGAGAGACTGAGCACTTCTTCCAATGTAGTGTACCTGTGAGAGAGGTATTCTGGACACAGTGTCAGTTATTTAGTTCCCCCTGGTGTCACACACAGGGCTCAGAGGGGGAAGCTTTATCTGGCCACACTGGCCGAGAGGGGAACCTTTATCGCGTTGTGCAGGCCGGGTCTGCGTGGTTATCGGGCACCATGGAAATGCTAATGAGAGCCTGTGGCATGATGGGAGTGTGACATTTGTGCTCGGAAATTACCGTTAACGGAAACGCACCCCGAAGCAAGAGGTGTGTGAGTGGGGGCTATAATCACTAATTCAGCTCTTCAATTAGAGCCTGAGATCCTGGTCGTCTCATCTCCATGTCTGAGTCAATCAGACTGAGGGTTGGGGGGGCAGGGGGGGACAGTATTAGGGGACGGACCATGTCTGCTCTGATTCCACTAATGAGACAGGATTGTTTTTAATGGAGGGGGAGAATGCCAACAGGTGCACAGGTCTGGGGTCTGGTGTGCACACATTCTAACACATTGAACACACCTCATTTCCATAGAAGGTCATGAGAAATTGGGTTTTGATTTGAAGTTAATGAGGAAAGGTTTAACGTTGTTTCACACCTCTGAAAGTTTGTGTGATGCCCTCTCGTCTCACCTGTACCCCTCTGTCGCTCTCTACACTGTGTGTGTGAGAGAGCAGTGCACTAAAGACAACTTCATATTGTAATGTACCTGTTGGCTCAAACCTGTTATGTATCACTTCCTGTTCTCAGTACACAGGAATGTGGGGAGAAAGACCATCTGTTAGGTAGAAAAATAACTAAGTAGACATTTGCATGTGTGTGTGGTAATGTGGTTTGTCTGATGAATGGTTGTGGGTGATGTTGATTAGAGGAGAGAGTGACACGTGCCTCTCCTTCATTTGTCCTCTAATTCCATCCCTCCATAATGTCATTACTACTATTGGATTTCACCCTCCTTACACACACACTTCCTGATTGTTTGGGCTCATAAAACATTGTTTAAAAAGATTGTCCGATCCGCCACATGTCAGCTCCCATTACCCAGCGTGCCTCAGGACTCGCTTAACCCTTTCATTTTTAGGAAAAGGGGGAGTCTGGAGGAGAGTTATCTGGTGGATGTGGAAGAGAGGAGAGGTTACAATCTGGTGGATGTGTAACATATTGGTTACATTACGTTTTATTTAATTTAAAATGTTTGTCATCAAGCAGACACTCAGATATTAATGTTGTGACCTATGAACTTTTAAAACAGCAGGAAGTGATCTTAACCACTGTCTGTATGTGCCGCCCACAGGAAGTGTGCCACTGCTTGGAGACGCTGGGGTCTCGTTCACAGTGCTTCGACGTGCTGCAGAACGGCATCTGCAAGAACCTGGTGAGATGGTGTACTTGTGTGGACTCATCTCTGTGTGTTTGTGTGTGTAAAACTGTGTCTCTCTCCCTCCCAGATGGGTCTGGCTGTGGTACCAGACAGTATGGCAGCAGGGTTGTTAAGAGCTGTGGCCAGACTGTTGGACCTGTCCTTCCTCCCCAGTGAACCTCTGCTGAGGTTCCTGTCCCGCTGTTGCCTCAGCCTACTGTCTCTGCTACTGACCCTACAGCAGGACACCGCCTCAGAGAACAACCACAAGAGGTAGGCCTGTCTGTGTGTGTAACCTGTTTCCTTCCCTGTAGGTAGGTGGTGTGTAGATTGTATGTGTGTATAGATAGTGTCCAACCTCTCTCTCCCTGCAGGGAGGCGGTGTGGGGAGCGTGTGTGGCGGCGCTGAGCAGCGTTCCCCGGCTGTTGCGGTTGGTTCTGCAGTCGTTGCAAGTTAGGGACCTGTGTGAGGAGGAGCTGCCTCAGCTGGCCCAGATACTGTCCCTGCTGCTGCAGCACACAGCGCTATGCAACCAAATGCTGGCTAACGCAACTCTGCTACAACGCATCATACAGGACCTCACGGTAAACACACACAGCCAACTACTCAACCACATGCTGGCTAACGCAACTCTACTACAACACATTATACAGGACCTCACGGTAGTAAGGAAGCTAAAACAAGTATCATGTTAGAATAAAAACATGACAATGCAAAAAAAGTGTGTGTTCTGAGGTTCTAATGACGGTGTGTGTTCCAGAGGTACTGTCGAGGTGAGTCGAAGGAGCAGTGGATGACTGACCTGCTGTACTGCTACAGCGTAACCATGGCGACTCACCATGGAAACCTGGGGCTCCGAGACATCTACTGACCTAGGCCCCAAACCAACCACAGACCCTTCTTCCTGTTCTCTGTCCACTGTCTAACCCACTTGTCAAACTTATTCCACGGAGGGCCGAGTGTCTGCGAGTTTTCACTCCACCCTTGTACTTGATGGATGAATTAAGGTCACTAATGAGTAAGGAACTCCCCTCACCTGATTGTCTAGGTCTTAATTGAAAGGGAAAACCAAAAACCTGCAGACACTAGGCCCTCCGTGGAATGAGTTTGATACCCCTGGTCTAACCCCAGACATCCTCTCTTCCCCATCGGTCTCTCTGTCCTCCTCATTCAGCTATAATTCCTGGCCCAAAACCAACTGTCTTCTTCATATTGCTAAATCTTGTGGCCACCACTAGTCCTGGAGAGTTAAAAGGATGTGCAGGCTTTAGTTACAGTCCAGCACTAATATACTTGTTTAACTAATCATCTGAATCAGGGGTATTAGTGCTGGGCTGGAACCAAAGCCTGCACACACTGCATCTCCAAGACATGGATTGAATTAAAGTATTTCTCAACTGATTAGTTTTTGTTACAAAAAGACAAAATAAAGCTGGAGTCAGTGAAACTTGTCAATTTATTTATTTGAGAAGTTTTATAAAAGAGTAGAAAAACAATATTGACATTATCACATTGAGGTTGTAAAGACTTGGCATCTGATGGTGTTTCAACCTAAGTGCATCAGATTGAACAGCATTGACACTGAAACACAGTTTCTATCTTTAAAGTGACAGTTCCCCTCTAAATGATAACAGGCTTTTTGATGAGGTGCCACAAACATATGGCAAACTTAGATTTTTAAGTCGACTATCTCTTTAAGGCAGGAAGTGACGTATAGTATACGATTAAAGAGAGTAACGGAGTGTGTATAAAATGCATAAATATACCCCCCTCCACAGAGAAAGCACAGGTACACCTGTACCCTGTGGCGCCAAAGTACCTTGTGGACATCTGTCTACCTACTATTATGGCTGAGGGGAAAGGGGGAGGGACATGCATGCCTGTGCGAACCTGCTCAGGTAGATACTAAGGTAGAGCTGACTACAACCTAGTACAAGTGTTATGGCTGACGGGAAGAGTGTGTGGGTCTGCAAGCAGGCGTGTGTGTCTGCAAGCAGACTTGTGTGTCTGCGTCTGCAGGTGGGCTGGCTGTATGACTGGCTGTTGACAGACTGCCTCATTCTCCACATGGGAGGAAAGGTTATCTCTCTGTGTGTGTGTGTTCATTCTCTGTATGGTTGAAATTATCTTGCACACACACCATGGCGGTAGACTTAACTCCTCCCTGTGAGGTCATGACTGTGATGTCACATAGCTTTGTTTATAATACTGGTCACAGGAAGAGAGTACAATCTGAGAGGAAGAGGCTAAGCAAGAAAATCTGTCTGCGCGAGAATACAGCGTGACACAAACCAAGTGGGGATTTTTTTGTATGGAGGTCAATGAGTGTTAAATTTTGTCAACATAAAATTGAATTGATGAGTGAGGCTTATTTGATCGAATGTAAGTTTCGTAATGTTTGTTATTACGAATGTACTGATATAAGTGGACGCACGTGGCCTCTTTGACAAAAACAATGCCTGTTGTTCACACGCAAACCTGCCCTCTCATTGGCTCAAGTGTTCCCACCTCTGCAGAAATGTATTCCCATAGTTACAGCATTGGGTCCCACCTTTTCTCAGTATATAGATCCTCTTTGGTACAATCTGGCCAATAACCCCACCATGATAAGGCAGTTGGGTAAGTAAATAACTTAACGGCAACACACATATGTATGCCATTTAGCAGACGCTTTTAGCCAAATTGACTTACAGTCACGCGTGCATACATTTTACATAAGGGTGGCCCCGGGATTCAAACCCAGTACCCTAGCATTACAAGCGCCATGCTCTACCAACTGAGCCACAAAGGACACATGCAGGGTATGTGTAGTCGTCAGTGTTTCCCCCGGCCCTGTCCAGCGCTGTGGGGTCTGAGGTGGTAGGAGTACTGCCTGGCCTGCCCCACTGCATCACACAGGTGCACACACTCCATACTGCTCACTGCAAAAACACACACACAGAAAGTATAATAAACATGTTAACAGAGGAAACAGAGATTTTGTACAGTTCATCCACATCACTCTATTCACATAATACAACCAGGTGTGTGTGTGTGTGTGTGAGAGAGAGAGAGTACTCACGCTGGCTGTGTGTGCGTAGTGACAGGTCCAGTAGTATCTGAGACTGAGAACCCCCGAGAGAGCGCCCCCTTCGGGCCACAGAACCTCCTACAAGACAATAAGCATACAAATCAACTACGTACAGTTGAAGGCGGAAGTTTACATACACCTTAGCCAAATATATTTAAACTCAGTTTTTCACAATTCCTGACATTTAATCCTAGTAAATATTCCCTGTCTTAGGTCAGTTAGGATCACCACTTTATTTTAAGAATGTGACATGTCAGAATCATAGTAGAGAGAATGATTTATTTCAGCTTTCATCACATTGCCAGTGGGTCAGAACTTTACATACACTCAATTAGTATTTGGTAGCATTGCCTTTAAATTGTTTAACTTGGGTCAAACGTGTCGGGTAGCCTTCCACAAGCTTCCCACAATAAGTTGGGTGAATTTTGGCCCATTCCTCCTGACAGAGCTGGTGTAACTGAGTCAGGTTTGTAGGCCTCCTTGCTCGCACATGCCTTTTCAGTTCTGCCCACAAATGTTCTATTGGATTGAGGTCAGGGCTTTGTGATGGCCACTCCAATACCTTGACTTTGTTGTCCTTAAGCCATTTTGCCACAACTTTTGAAGTATGCTTGGGGTCATTGTCCATTTGGAAGAACCCCCCCCCCGCTTCACTGGTTGGGATGGTGTTCTTCGGCTTGCAAGTACCCCCTTTTTCCTCCAAACATACCGATGGTCATTATGGGCAAACAGTTCTATTTTTGTTTCATCAGACCAGAGGACTTTTCTCCTAAAAGTACGTAGTCTGACTTTTTTATGGCGGTTTTGGAGCAGTGGCTTCTTCCTTGCTGAGCGGCCTTTCAGGTTATGTCGATATAGGACTTGTTTTACTGTGGATATAGATACTTTTGTACCTGTTTCCTCCAGCATCTTCACAAGATCCTTTGCTGTTGTTCTGGGATTCATTTGCACTTTTCGCACCAAAGTACGTTAATCTCTAGGAGACAGAACGCGTCTCCTTCCTGAGCGGTATGACGGCTGCGTGGTCCCATGGTGTTTATACTTACGTACTATTGTTTGTACAGATGAACGTGGTACCTTCAGGCGTTTGGAAATTGCTCCCAAGGATGAACCAGACTTGTGTAGATCTATAATTTTTTTTCTGAGGTCTTGGCTGATTTCCTTTTGATTTTCCCATGATGTCAAGCAAAGAGGCACTGAGTTTGAAGGTAGGCCTTGAAATACATCCACAGGTACACCTCCAATTGACTCAAATGATGTCAATTAGCCTATCAGAAGCTTCTAAAGCCATGACATCATTTTCTGGAATTTTCCAAGCTGTTTAAAGGCAATGTCAACTTAGTGTATGTAAACTTCTGACCCACTGGAATTGTGATACAGTGAATTGTAAGTGAAATAATCTATCTGTAAACAATTGTTGGATAAATTACTTGTGTCATGCACAAAGTAGATGTCCTAACCGACTTGCCAAAACTATAGTTTGTTAACAGGAAATGTGTGGAGTGGTTGAAAAATGAGTTTTAATGACATTTCCATTTTAGTCATTTAGCAGATGCTCTTATCAGAGCGACTTACACGAGCAATTAGGGTTAAGTGCCTTGCTCAAGGGCACATCGACAGATTTTTCACCTAGTCAGCTCGGGGATTAGAACCAGTGACCTTTCGGTGACTGGCACAACGCTCTTAACCACTAAGCTACCTGCCGCCCCAATGACTCCAACCTAAGTGTATGTAAACCTCCGACTTCAACTGTACATATACACACACACACAGTCATTATACACAGAAACATCTGGAGAGCCTACTGCAAGACAAAAAAATAGCAACATTGTAAGTCTGAAATATAAAAATTGGCCAAGGCTGCTAGCTTGAATGGTGAATCGCTACACACATAATCCATCTGGAAGGACCAATAAAAAACAGGACATTTGCAATCTGACTCATTTTGGTTTCATTCATGCATCTAACTGTAACTGCCAAGCTGGGGTACGCTGTTTAAGTTTAAGGGAGATCAGGGAGTGTCCTTTGTTTTAAGAGCCTGACTGGTAACCTGCCTGTCAGGTTGGGTGTGACGCTATCTTTGTTCTCGAATGGGAGTATAATTTAAATCCTTTTGTCCTCCTGGTTGAACTGTGAAAAACAAGGCTCCATAGCTCAGTGGTTAGAGCACTGGTCTCGTAAACCAGGGGTCGCGAGTTCAAATCCCGCTGGGGCCTTCAAGTGGTAACAATTTTTTATCAACACTACACCTGTACCACCAAACAAAGCATGGCGAAAGGAATGAAGTACAGCCTTGGAAACGTCAACCTGTAAGAAGAGTGAAACTGAACTAAAGAAATAGGAAAAACACATTTTACATTTTAGCAGACGCTTTTATCCAGAGCGACTTACAGTTTGTGCATTCATTTTATTTTATTTCATACTGGCCCCCTGTGGGAAACGAACCCACAACCCTGGCATTGCAAGCGCCATGCTCTCTCAACTGAGCTACACGGGGCCTGTTCTGTGATACCTCTGTACACACACATAGGTGAATGTGGTTGACGGGTTTGTATGTCTGAGAGAGAGACAATGGGTTTCGTTAATGTGTGTATGTGTGTTCAGGAGACAGCTCCACGCAGTCGTCTGACATTCCCCCTGACAGCTCTGAACTTTTCACAGCAGCAGTCGACAGGACTGTCAGCGTGTGTGTATGTGTGTGTGTGAAAGGGGGCGGGCTGCCACGTCAGGCCAGAAAAGGTAGGGGGTCTATCTGGGTGTATCGGTGTATGTGTTGGCACTGGTAGGTTTCTGCCCATTCTCCAATCATCACCTGGTCATGTGTGCTGAAGGTCAGGCCTGTCTATGGGTCGAACCCGTACCAGAGGTTATTACAACACACAACTCACACACATCTCTATATGATTATATGATTATGTATTCACAGCTGAGAGTGTGATTGCATGTGTATATTAACATTATAAGGTAAATAGTTATTGCTAACTCTCTGCCTTGATGCCTCTCTTATTCTGTTTTAACATAACATCAAATTCCAAACCAAACAGCTTCATACCATCACCTCAGGAAACAAATATTTTCCTTAATCAAAAACTGTACACTTCTAAGATGAAGGACTGCTAATATCTTAAGTGGACTATACACCACCCTATACTAATCCCATACAGATATGTTGGAGTTTGAAGCTGCAGCTCGGCAGTAATGCACCCATTTACAGTAGGCGACTAGGCGCTGTTAAGAATTGGTCAATCTCTAAATGTTAACAGTTCAGAGTTTAAACAAATTGAAGACAGAATCAAACCATTCTGGACAGAACGCCAGGCCTTACCATAGATGCTTTGCAGCACTGAGGTCTTGGCTGCTGTCTTGGTGGGCGGAACTCTGGCCTCAGGCTTGGTCCTAATAGGGGTGTGACTAGAGAAAGCCGGCCTATCCCAGAGCAGCTGGATCAGGAGGGAGGCGGCCTCAGGTGTCTCCATCCCTTTCCTAGCACCAAGAGCCTCCCTCAATCTGCCACGCACATGGAACCTACACACAAACACACCCAGAACACAGTACATTGGAGAGGCCTTCATTTGTCCAACCTATTTAGTTTGTTTATTACACAACACATGACATTTGGACATTATTCAGGCCACTGAAAAACATTACAGGCATCCCTGGAAAAGCTGGTTTAAGAGAGGTGAGACATAATAATTCAGTGTCCAACCTCAGGGGTTCCACAAGGCTCAATTCTGGGTCTGCTACTCTTCAGCATCAATACCTAACACTTCCTCTAGGGGAACAGAACCCGGCCATGGCATACTTTAGGAGCTTAGTAACCTACTGGTGGCTGGGAACAGAGGGCTTTCCGCTGTGGGGTAGTAGGCCCTGAATGAGAGGCTGCTGGTAGCTATTAGAACAGCACGCCTGAACTTTTAGCCTCTCGTTAAAACGCTGAGAGGGCTCCAGATTATACCCCGTCTCCCCCACCTCTCCCCCGTAATGGAGGTGTTGATGGTAGGAGGGCAGGCAGCCAGACCACAGAGAGCGAGAGGGGGAGACGCTGTGTGTAACCTGGTGTGTGTGTAGGGAGGGCAGACACATGTGGGCCCCACATGGCACTGCCACACTCTCATGGTAAGAGAGAATGCTACTGTGGAGCACAGTATAACCCCCCCTCTTCAACCATACACACACTTCCTCCAGGCTCTTTGGGAAGCCATCTCAGAGCCAACCTTGGTATCGGGCCAGAGAGAAAGTCTCTGATCACCTCTGCTTTGGTAAAGGGGCCACAGGCTCTATTCCATGGCAGTACCCCCAATACTGGCTCAGCTTGGAGATGGAATGGGAAGAATGAAAAGCAGACCATCCCTGGTTGGGCTTAAACCTTACCTCCTCCAGGCTCGTTGGATAGTGCAGGCAGCCTGGTCTCTGTCCCCCTCCCTGGGCTTGCTGCTGCTGGGGCGGTGTGACTGTGTGGAGGCTTTAGTGTGGTACTTGCTGGAGGAGGTGGTATGGTCTGTGGCAGGGCGTGTCCTGTGTCTGGGGTTGTGTGTGGTGGTGTGTGCGTCTCTCTTGCTTCTAGGGGTGCGTTCCCTGGTGCTGGGGGCTTCTTGGTCCATGGTGGGGCTAGTAGATGTGTGTGTGTTGGATGGAGTGTGTATGTTGGATGGAGTGTGTGTGTTGGAAGGAGTGTGTGTGTTGGAAGGAGTGTGTGTGTTGGAAGGAGTGTGTGTGTTGGAAGGAGTGTGTGTGTTGGAAGGAGTGTGTGTGTTGGAGGTAGTGTGTGTGTTTGCGGAGGTGCGTCTCTTGGTCCTGGGAGTGGTGGGGGGTCTGTGTTTTGGGCTGGGGGGTCGGCTGCAGCCTGCAGGAGAGAGACGCTCCCTGACCCTAGAAGCCTGGGCAGGGGGCATGGTGTCAGAGGTCACTGAGGGGTGAGGGGTCACCACGGGGTCAGGGTCTTTGGCTGGCTCCGCCTCCTTCCCTTTCCTGGAGGATCTGCTTCTAAATTTATGTGCTGAGAAAGAGAGGGAAGTAAGAGATTGAGAGAGTGTGTATACGTGTGTGTGTGTTAGGTTTGAGCGGTATACCGTATATATATCGTAGTCCAGGGTTTTGGAAATAGCCACGGGATGGTTTTTCAATACCGTCAATACCATTGAAACTACTTCTTTTCGTTTTTTTTATTTACATTTGAATATTTCGAGCTACTTTTTAAGTAATACCTGCAGTCAACTTGTGCAATATGGTAGGAGATAATGAAGATCACGTTCATCATTTCACCTGTTTTTCATTGGGCGGATCCGATTACGCTGAGCCTCGGGGCACCGGTTTATGGCCCGTGACGTGAACGGGCAAAAGCGATGAGGGAGGAGCACCCTTCTCAAATCCAACAGTAATGAGTAGGATTCACATGCAAAAGTGATTGCTTTTGATAAAAAAGGCTTTATCTGCCTTCCCAATGAAAACTAGTTTGGTGTCACCTTAACTGGGGAGGACGGGCTCATAGTAATGGCTGGAATGGAATTAATGGAATGGTATGGAAACTCATCAAACATGTTTGATACCATTCCATTTACTCCATTTCAGCCATTATTATAAGCCGTCCTCCCCTCAGCAGCCTCCTGTGGTGTGTGTGTGTCCGTACCACTGTGTTTCCGTGTCTCCTCTTTGCTGTTGGTCTGTTCTGCTTTGGAGGCTGTCTTAGCCCCACCCCCTGCCTCTCTCTCATACACTGACAGTTCCTTCATAGTCTCAGCCAATGACAGCTGCTCCTGCTCAGCGCGGGCCAATAACATCCTCTGTTTCTCTGTTCTGGCCAGTGAAATTTGCTGCTCCGCCTCCCGCCTCCGCTGCTCCTCCTCGCGTTTCCTGAGTGACATAATGACACACGTCTCACACACGTCTCACACACATACACCCTAACCCTAGTTATAGCCTTATCTCAAAGCCCTATCTAAACCCTAACGCTGAACCAGCCCAAACTCTAACATCACAAACTAGTCCTGCCGTTACAAAGAACGACAGCAGAATCCTTATAGTAATCCAAGCCTAATAGGAGTCCCAAACACAGAGACCCTTACAGGCCGTTTATAGAATTATAAAAGGGGGATGTGTGAGCGATAGAGAGAGACAGACTGGGAGAAGAGAGAGAGAGAGAGAGAGAGAGAGAGAGAGAGAGAGAGAGAGAGAGAGAGAGAGAGAGAGAGAGAGAGAGAGAGAGAGAGAGAGAGAGAGAGAGAGAGAGAGAGAGAGAGAGAGAGAGAGAGAGAGAGAGAGAGAGAGAGACAGGGAGAAGATGTATGTGTATGCAGGGATGACAGGTGGAAAGATGGATATGGAGAGAGTGTGACTGTTTCTATATGGGTTGGGGGAATAAGACAGGGAGAGATGGAGAGAGAGGGAGGAGAGAGAGAGAGAGAGAAAATATATAGAAAGAGCATGTGGGTGTGTGTGTGTTTGTGTGTGTGTGTGTGTGTGTGTGTTTGCCATGATCTGGTTGACTATGATAGAGTTGTTGACAGAGAGCACTGAGCAGACAGGGGATGGATCACAACGCTCGTTTCTATGTGTGTGAGTGTGAGTGTGTGGTGTGTGTGTGTGTGTGTGTGATTGTGTGTATGCCATGTCTGTATGTGTGTGTGTGTGTGGTACTTGGCTGCATCCTTGCGTAGCTGTTCGTGTCTCATCAGGAGTTGTTTCCTCTCAGTGAAGGCCTTGCGGACGGTGTATCCTTTATACAGGGCCTGGATGGAAGCAGCAGCGATGTCTTGGATGGCTGCTATAGACAGAGCTCCATGCTCCAACATGTACTGAGTCACCTCACTGTGTTCCCCTAGGAGGGCATAGTCCAGGGGGGTGTACCTATACACACACACCATGAACACACCATGAACACACCATGAACACACACACTTAAAGCTGCAATATGTAACTTTTCAATGAAAGCAAGTCTAAGAAGAGTAGATCTGTTCTAAGTTTCGTTTTTGCGTCTTTTAACTTTTGGTTCTGTACACCAGCTTCAAACAGCTGAAAATACAACATTATTGGTTATGGAAAATATATTTCACAGCGGTTTAGACGGTACAATGATTCTCTACACTATACTTGCTTGTTTTGTCACATAAACTGATATTAGGCGAACTATTCGAATTTTAGCAAGCAGGAAATGGCGGAGCGATTTCTGCATAGTGCACCTTTAACAAAAGTGCAATTTTAATCAACTGTTTATTAATTCTGCGCCTGTATGAACTCAAAATCTGCATAGTGTATCTTTAACCTAATTAACTTGCTTTATGAAAAACAACACACACAGAGAATAGGTTCACAAAATTCATTATGAACATTACAAAACATTTTACATTGATTACATTTAGCAGATGCTCTTATCCAGAGCGACTTACAATTAGTGCATTCATCTTAACATAGCTAGGTGAGACAACAACATCACAATCGTAGCAAGTACATTTTCCCTCAATAAAGTACAGGTAACTGCCAAAATAATGGAAACACTTGAGTAAATGAGGGATACAAAGTATATTGAAAGCAGGTGCTGCACACAGGTGTGGTTCCTGAGTTAATTAAGCAATTAACATCCCATCATTCTTAGGGTCATGTATAAAAATGCTGGGTAGGCCATTGTTTTGGCTACCATGGCTATGCCCCCATAGGATGACAATGCTCCCATCCACAGGGCACGAGTGGTTACTGAATGATATGATGAGCATGAAAACTATGTAAACCATATTCCAAGGCCGTCTCAGTCACCAGATCTCAACCCAATTGATTCTGGAACGGTGACTGAGACAGCGTCTTCCACCACTATCAACAAAACACCAAATGATGGAATTTCTCATGGAAGAATGGTGTCGCATCTCTCCAATTGAGTTCCAGACACTTGTAGAATCTATGCCAAGGTGCATTGAAGCTGTTCTGGCTCGTGGTGGCCCAACGCCCTATTAAGACGCTTTATGTTGGGGTTTCCTTTATCTTGGCAGTTACCTGTAGTTATCAGCAAAGTCAGTGCTAGTAGGACAAGACAAGTACAAATACAATTAAGTAGGCCACTAGATAGAGACAGCACTTAAACTAAATTTCCTTAGCAAGACAATACCAACAGCTACTTATTGAATCAAAACAGATACTTGCTACTGTTGCAGGAGCTGATGTCCTTCCAAACTATAGATGAGGCACTTCCTCATCCTCCTCCTCCTCCTCACCTCTCCTCGTTGTGTTCCATGTGGTTGGGGAAGGCATTAGAGTTCAGCAGCAGCTTCACAGCATCCAGATAGCCATTGTTACACGACCAGTGGAGAGCTGTCCTGCCCTACAGACACACACAGTAGTACAGGACCAGTGGAGAGTACTTTGTGTGTGTGTGTGTATGTAATGTAATGTATGTCTGTGTGTGTGTGTGTGTGTGTGTGTGTGTGTGTACCTCTTTGTCCTGTATATTAGGGTCGGCGTTGTTCTCCATGAGTAGTACAGCCATACAGGTGATGTATCCTCCGTAAGCAGCACACTGAAGAGGAGTCCTGCCTGCCAGGTCCTGGACGTTAGGATTGATCCCATTCTCCATCAGCAACTACCATGACATCACACTGAGGTTACAGTACCAGTTAACAGGCTCAATGCACTTTACAACACACACTTAACACAGTCTATAACGAAAGGAAATGGAAGACAAATGAAGAAGTGTTCAGGTTTAATACAATAGTGTATAAAGGTGAAAAGACGGACCTGGCAGACTTCAGCGTTCCCCCCAGAGCCGCCCAGTGCAGAGCAGTGTGTCCATCTAGATCCACCAGGTGGACACGAGCAGAGCCTACACAATGAAAATCAATGAGGCATTCTTCACCATAGTAAGCCCACCCAACTCCTGCATTACAAGAGCATGGTACACTGGCACTAGTGTAGTCCTGTATGGTTCAGTTGGTAGAGCATGGTACACTGGTACTAGTGTAGTCCTGTATTGCTCAGTTGGTAGAGCATGGTACACTGGACTAGTGTAGTCCTGTATGGTTCAGTTGGTAGAGCATGGTACACTGACACTAGTGTAGTCCTGTATGGTTCAGTTGGTAGAGCATGGTACACTGGCACTAGTGTAGTCCTGTATTCTCAGTTGGTAGAGCATGGTACACTGACACTAGTGTAGTCCTGTATGGTTCAGTTGGTAGAGCATGGTACACTGGTACTAGTGTAGTCCTGTATTGCTCAGTTGGTAGAGCATGGTACACTGACACTAGTGTAGTCCTGTATGGTTCAGTTGGTAGAGCATGGTACACTGGTACTAGTGTAGTCCTGTATGGTTCAGTTGGTAGAGCATGGTACACTGGTACTAGTGTAGTCCTGTATGGTTCAGTTGGTAGAGCATGGTACACTGGTACTAGTGTAGTCCTGTATGGTTCAGTTGGTAGAGCATGGTACACTGGTACTAGTGTAGTCTGTATGGTTCAGTTGGTAGAGCATGGTACACTGGTACTAGTGTAGTCCTGTATGGTTCAGTTGGTAGAGCATGGTACACTGGTACTAGTGTAGTCCTGTATGGTTCAGTTGGTAGAGCATGGTACACTGGTACTAGTGTAGTCCTGTATGGTTCAGTTGGTAGAGCATGGTACACTGGTACTAGTGTAGTCCTGTGTGGTTCAGTTGGTAGAGCATGGTACACTGACACTAGTGTAGTCCTGTATGGTTCAGTTGCTAGAGCATGGTACACTGGCACTAGTGTAGTCCTGTATGGTTCAGTTGGTAGAGCATGGTACACTGGTACTAGTGTAGTCCTGTATGGTTCAGTTGGTAGAGCATGGTACACTGGTACTAGTGTAGTCCTGTATGGTTCAGTTGGTAGAGCATGGTACACTGGTACTAGTGTAGTCCTGTGTGGTTCAGTTGGTAGAGCATGGTACACTGGTACTAGTGTAGTCCTGTATGGTTCAGTTGGTAGAGCATGGTACACTGGTACTAGTGTAGTCCTGTATGGTTCAGTTGGTAGAGCATGGTACACTGGTACTAGTGTAGTCCTGTATGGTTCAGTTGGTAGAGCATGGTACACTGGTACTAGTGTAGTCCTGTATGGTTCAGTTGGTAGAGCATGGTACACTGGTACTAGTGTAGTCCTGTATGGTTCAGTTGGTAGAGCATGGTACACTGACACTAGTGTAGTCCTGTATGGTTCAGTTGGTAGAGCATGGTACACTGGTACTAGTGTAGTCCTGTATTGCTCAGTTGGTAGAGCATGGTACACTGACACTAGTGTAGTCCTGTATGGTTCAGTTGCTAGAGGATGGTGCTTGCAACGCCAGGATTGTGGGTTTGATTCCCGGGGCCACCCATACAAAATGTATGCATGCATGACTGTAAGTCACTTTGGATAAAAGTGTCTGCTAAATGGCATATATTCTATATATTATTGAGTCACTCCTACTAAACTCCCAATTCCACACCCACCGTGCATAATGGTCATGTGAGGGGAAATGTGTATATTTTGGGATGTGAGCACCTACGTTTTTAAGGATGTGTGTATGACCACAAACTCTTCACTACTACTGGACCACAATGTATTCAAGGACTAGGATACCAAGTCTACAATAATCACCAACACACACTGGGGTACTGCGTACCAGAGGCGGGACATCTCACTCGCTCCTTTTTCCAATGGTAAACGACCTGAGTAAGACATCTTCAATTATCCACCATCTTTGCTGTGTACCTTTGATAAGTGTGAGGATGATGTGGCGGTGTCCCATCTCACAGGCTCTGAACAGAGGTGTGTGTTTCATCACGTCTAGACTGTCAACTATGGCTCCTCTCTCCAACAGCAAACTCACTGTACTCACATGACCCGACAGGGAGGCCGCGTGCAGCGCTGCAACACACACACACACACACACACACACGCACACACACACACACACACACACGCATTGAGCTTAGATTTTCAGCCTCCACACACTTCAGCAGCCTCACCTACTCGAGTTTTCAGAACCAGTTTGTCAAATGAAAAGCCCTTTGTTACACTTTGACCCTGTATTGTGTTGTGATGTTATTTCATGTCAGTCAATCTTTACGCCACTGGCCCATCAATCTACTCCAGTGACTCTAAACAACCCACTCTGCTCCCCAATCATACTCAACCTCATTAGCATAGCACACCAGATCATTTGCATATTTCGCCAACTCATTAGCATATGCCCACATAAATTGTCCCTGCAGGGCAGGAAGTGGGGGCATCGCCATGGTGATTAGTGCTCCAATCAGCCCACGGGGCAGAGCAGGGGACACAGGATGGCGTGTCTTCAGCTTGGGGATGGTGTGTGTGTGTGTGTATGTGTGTGTCAGGGAGAGTGTGTGTGTCAGGGAGTGTGTGTTCATGCTCACTGGTTTTGGTAATTTTCTTAACAGTGTCAGTTATGTGTTGACATGTCTCTCTCCCCACGCGTCTCTCCCGCTCCACTGCTTTCGGGCAATCCCCTGACATCTATGCCCCGCTGGGGAATCCCCTGTGACATCAGACAGACGCTGTCTTGCACCCTCCAGTGCCTCAACATTCCTACACACGCAGGATGACAGAGGCCAGCACCAGTGTGTGTGTGTGTCTGTGTGTGTGTGTGTGTGTGTCATCTCTGTCTGTTTATCTCTCTCTGTACTGTGATGGTGACAGTGCCAGGGCATTAAGATCATGGTCTGGGAACCTGTGTTGAAGGGGGTGAGGGGGTAGGGGGTGAAGGGTGAATAGGGGGCGTGGTGAGTTAAGTAGGGGGTAGGGGTTATGGGTGAGGAGTGGGTGTGAGGGAGTGGGGGGTAGGTGGGGCGTGACGTGGGGTGGGGGGTGGTGAGGGTCGGGGCGGTGGTCGGGACGGGGTGGGGTGGTTGAGCGTGGTTTTGGGGTCGATTATGTGGGTGAAAGGGTGAGGGGGGAGGTGTCCTCTACCAATCTGACCAGTCACAGCAGCTCTAGGTCTACTGCTGACTGAATCAATCTCTGCGTATAAAACAAATTTCCTCCCACATCCCAGAGTTCCTCACCAGTGCCTCCGTACTTGTCGGCCATGTTGATGTCGATGTGAGGCGTGATTGTCAGCATGGTGCGTATGACATCATCACTTCCTTTGCCAGCAGCCCACATGAACGCTGTGCGGCCCTCCAGATCTGGCTCGTCCTTCACAGAGGGGTGGGACAGAAACACACCCACCGTCTCCTACACACACACAATTTTGGTACAAGTCATACACATTAATGTGGATAGATACTTTGTCATGAGTCATTGATATAACTTGAAAACGTGTGTGTGTGTGTGTGTGTGTTTGTGCGTGTTTGTGCACGTGTGTCTACATACGGCGTAGTTGCTCTGTGCTCCATAGTGTAGAGGTGTGGCTCCCTGGCTGTCTGATGGGATGGTGCCTGACGTGTTCCTCTCCAACAACAAGTGCACTATCTTGGCATGGCCTGAAATACACACATGCGCGCACATCAACATTTTCAGGTCCCGCTTCGGCTGACCGTCCAGTATCTGGATCAGTGATGGAAGCCCATTCTGATGATAGGATCCACATTGTAAACACACACAGTCTCTTACCCAGCAGTGCAGCCCAATGCAGTGGAGTTCTGAACAGGTTGTCGTACGCCGTGACGCTGCAGCCTTCGTATGATGTCAGCACCTCCACCACCGCCTCGTTGCCGTCAGCAACAGCAAAGTGCAACGGCGTGCGCCCCTCATAGTCCTGCCAGTTCAACAGAGACTCGGTAGGAGCCGCCTCCTACACACACACCTCATTTAAATCAGCAAGCAGAGGACGGTGTGTATAAGGATGACATTATCACTGGATACTGTGTGTGTGTGTGTGTGTGTGTACCAGTATGCAGCGGACGGTGTGTGTAGCGGTGTGCTCCTGGCTGTGTGCAGCCCAGTGTAGGGGGATCTTGCCCTCGCTATCTGGGATGCCGATGTTGGAGTCGTGTTTGATGAGCAGTCTGACATGCTCCGGCCTGTTATAGAACGCTGACCAGTGGAGCGCTGTCTGCTGCAGGGAGAGACATTATTGTCATTTATATTTGTCCTGTTACACACAAGTGCATAATGGAAATGTGTTTTTTGCATATCCCAACTCTCCCTGGGGTCACAGTCAGGGTCACCATTGTCCAGCACCCATGGAGAAATTGGGGTTAAGTGCCTTGCTCAAGGGCACAGCAACAGATCATCCTTTTTTTCACCTTATCGTCTCCAGGAATCAAACCAGCGACCTTTCGGTTACTGGCCCAACTCTCTAACCTTGAGGCTACTTGCCGCCCTTAAGAATAACTGTGTAGGGAACTAAATCAAAAAGCCCTAGAACATATTCTACAGAAACACACAAAGCCTGCATTGAGGATTTAACAGTGACAGCAACAGTGACAGCAACAGGGACAGTAACAGGGACAGTAACAGTGACAGTGACATGAAAATGTATGCACTCACTAACTGTAAGTCGCTCTGGATAAGAGCGTCTGCTAAATGACGTAAATGTAAATGTAACAGGGACAGTAACAGGGACAGTAACAGGAACAGTAACAGGGACAGTAACAGGGACAGTAACATGAACAGTAACAGGGACAGTAACAGGAACAGTAACAGGGACAGTAACAGGGACAGTAACAGGAACAGTAACAGGGACAGTAACAGGGACAGTAACAGGGACAGTAACAGTGACAGTAACAGTGACAGTAACAGTAACAGTGACAGTAACAGTGACAGTAACAGGGAAAGTAACAGTAACAGGGACAGTAACAATGACAGTAACAGGGACAGTAACAGGGACAGTAACAGGAACAGTAACAGGGACAGTAACAGGAACAGGAACAGGAACAGTAACAGGGACAGTAACAGTGACAGTAACAAGGACAGTAACAGGGACAGTAACAGTGACAGTAACAGTGACAGTAACAGGGACAGTAACAGGGACAGTAACAGTGTCAGTAACAGTATGCTATAACATAGATATCACCTCCTCTATGGTTGTTGTTAGAGATGTTTTCTGGGACATACTGAAACCAGTGTCATCTGACATGCTGATGATGCATATTGGATTATTACAGTACTAACAGACAGATAGACATCATCGCTACAGACAGAGGGGGCCTGTGTGTGTGTGTGTGTGTGTGTGCGTGTGTGTAGAATGTATTTTGCACAACTGTCTGCCTTGAAGAGTCAGGACAAAGCAGCCAATTGTCATTCCAGTGTGTGTGTGTGTGCGTACGTGTGTGTGCGTGTGTTGTGTGTGCGTGTGTCTTTGGATTGCTCAGAACTAATTCAGTCAATCAAATCACAGAGCCGGGACAGTTCCATAACAAGCATGTTTGATAGAACTATTACCCAACTTTGTAAACGGTGTGTGTGTGTGTGCGTGTGTGTGGGTGGTGTGTGTGTGTGGTACCTTGTTCTTGTCCTGTGTGTCCACCTCTCCAGGGCCTATGTGTTTGAGCAGCAGGGCCAGGGGTTTGGGGGAGGGGTGGCGAGTCGCCAGGTGGAGGGGTGTTACCTCCTCTAGATCCTTCTGCAGCCAATCAGCACGACGAGACAGGAGCAGCTTCAGAAACCGCACATTCCCCTGGAGCACACACACACACTCTCTATGGTGTCTTATCCAATTCCATCATCATCCATCTCTGTCCTTTCCTATTGGTTCTCAGACTCTCTCCTCTCTTCCTTTCCTATTGGTTCTCAGACTCTCTCCTCTCTTCTTTTCCTATTGGTTCTCAGACTCTCTCCTCTCTTCATTTCCTATTGGTTCTCAGACTCTCTCCTCTCTTCATTTCCTATTGGTTCTCAGACTCTCTCCTCTCTTTTCTCCTCTCGTTCTTTCCTATTGGTTCTCAGACTCTCTCCTCTCTTCTCTCCTCTCTTCATTTCCTATTGGTTCTCAGACTCTCCCCAGCAAACCAAAATTGGTTCTGTGAAAGTTCCCAGAACATTTGTTAGGTTGCGGAAAATGTTCTCATAATACAAACACTGTCCAGTTGTGCTGGACACATTTAGTCTATTATTTAAAGGTTTCCAGAATGTTTCAATAGGTTGTGCGAACAGTCTGATGGGAACATTGTGGGGACATATATGTTTCCAAAACACAAAAACTCTCCAGTTGTTGGAAGAATGTTGACAGAACAGCCTGTCTGAGAACATTTAATTAGGTTGTGGGAACAGTAGGGGTACATTACAAGAGACAGGTTCCCAAAACACAAAATATGCTCAGTTGTGATGACATTCATACTGGGTCTCCTCTCTTCCTTTCCTATTGGTTCTCAGACTCTCTCCTCTCTGTTCTTTCCTATTGGTTCTCAGACTCTCTCCTCTCTGTTCTTTCCTATTGGTTCTCAGACTCTCTCCTCTCTCTTCTCTTCTCTCCTATCTATTCCTTCCAGCCTCACCGTCTGACAGATCTATCTACTGAGTGAGCATGCATGTGAGAGAGTGTGTGTGTGTGTATGTATATATGTGTGTGCACGTGCAAAGGTGTGTCCATATAAGCCTGAATGTGTGTGTGTGTGTGTGTGAGTGTGTACGTGTGTGTGTGTGTGTGTGTGTGTGTGTACGTGTGGTCCATCCTCCCTATCCTCAGTCCAATTAGATCAGTAATCCCAGACCTCTCTCCCTGTCTCAGCTAGATATTGATCAGGTGTCAGAGAGAGAGAGGGCCTCCCATCACCCCACACACATTAGAATTGGAGTGTGTGTGTGTGTATGTGTGTGTGTGTGTGTTTCAGAGTGTGTGTGAGAGTGTGTGTTAGAGTGTGTGTGAGCACCCTCCCCCTGCCCCTTCGGCCACCGCTCCTCACCTGCCCTGACAGCAACCCCCCACCCCCCAGGACGAGGCTAATAAACACTTTATATAGAGATATTACTGCTCATACAGCCCTGTCTTTTATTTAATTTTGTATATTTAGATAATTTTTTAGGAACTCAGTCGGGGTCTCAACTTACTGTTGAGAGTTAGAATAGTAGAATACACAAGGTGCAATTTTGAAACTTGGTTGTGCATCAGCAGTTTTTCCTCTTGTTATGTCAGTCACTGACAGTCACTCAATTAGCCATCTCAGCTAAAACATTTTATATTGGTAAGTTAGTCTAACGGCCAGCTATCTAAACTTGTTATCATGGTGGAATTACTGACCGGGGGCCCCATTGACTTTGTTAGTCACTCTCACTCAGATATCATATTACAAACTGCAAACATTTCTCTCCGACCCATGGCAAAATATGTAGAATGGCAGGAAATTAACTATAAAACTTTTTGTTGTCAAGAGGGGGGCCGCTAAAATGTTTAGCTCACTAAGTACAACATTTCGCTCAGATGTTTTGTGGCCCCCACCCCCATCAAAGTTTCCTATCCCCTTGTCAAGTTCTTAACAGCAGCCCTGAGGGTGTGTCTGTCTGTCACCACTGGGGGGCACTACCTTCTCACCTAAGCTACCAGTACATGATATACACTGAGTATACCAAACATTAGGAACATCTTCCTAATATTGAGTTGTCCCTATCCATGTCTCAATTGTCTCAAGTCTTAAAAATCCTTCTTTAACCTGTCTCTTCCCCTTCATCTACACTGATTGAAGTGGATTTAACAAGTGACATCAATAAGAGATCATAGCTTTCACCTGAATTCACCTGGTCAGTCTATGTCATGGAAAGAGCAGGTGTTCTTAATGTTTTGTACACTCAGTGTAGATAGGCTCTAGAATACCCTGGAGTCAGTATTCTAAAGGTTCACTATATACAGTCTGTGTTCTAAAGGTTCACTATATACAGTCTGTGTTCTAAAGGTTCACTATATACAGTCTGTGTTCTAAAGGTTCACTATATACAGTCTGTGTTCTAAAGGTTCACTATATACAGTCTGTGTTCTAAAGGTTCACTATATACAGTCTGTGTTCTAAAGGTTCACTATATACAGTCTGTGTTCTAAAGGTTCACTATATACAGTCTGTGTTCTAAAGGTTCACTATATACAGTCTGTGTTCTAAAGGTTCACTATATACAGTCTGTGTTCTAAAGGTTCACTATATACAGTCTGTGTTCTAAAGGTTCACTTAGTGTTCTAGAGATTAACTCAATGTTCTGATGGTTCGACTACTGTTCTAGTGTTTCTTGTAGTGGTTCTAGGTTGACTCAGTGTTGTAGTGTACCTTCTGTGCGGCCAGGTGCAGGGCAGTACGTTGGCTATGGTCAGTCTTGTTAACAGAGGCTCCAGCCTTCAGCAGTGTCTCAGCACAGTCCAGACGGTCAGCCAGAACACAGTACATCAGAGGGGTACGCCCAAACTGGTCCTCACGGTCACGCAGGGAGGGATCTGCTCACATACACAGTGGGTCAGGGGTTAAAGGTCAGAGGTCAGGGGTTAGTGTGTGTGTGTGTGTGTGTGTGTATGTGTGTGTAGTACCTGTGATGAGTCTGAGGAGAACGCTCCGGTCTCCGTTGACGGCGGCTGCGTGGACCTGGGAGCCCAGAGGGGCGGGGCCTGGGGGTGAAGGGTCAGATGCCTACAACACATATAGTCCAGTCAGAGCCAGACACACACACCTGGCCATACAGGTAAATACACTCACTTGCTGTGCATGTGTTAATACAGGCTGATAGTAGGGTGTGTGTGTGTGTGTGTGTGTGTGTGTGTGTGTGAGCCCCTGCAGTGGGAGTGCAATCTCTTCCTGCCCTCAGTTAACCAGACAGGAAGCAGCTGGGGGAGATCCCCGACAGGGGGTGGGGGGGTTCTCTGCTCATGTCTTATTCATAACTCATCAATACTGCAGAATGCCTGTGTGTGTGTGTGTGTGTGTGTGTGGCTGTTGGTCAGCCCAAGGGGCCCAAAGTAGAAAATCTATTACTGCCCCTAAACAACTAAATTCATAAACCATGAGAAGGCCCATTCAAGGCAGGGATCATTAATGCTGGTTTGAAATGTAACAGTGCAGATATGCAGTCAAAGATCTGTTGCATTACAAACTGAACATTGAGGAAGTTGGCCGGATATATCCCGCCAACCCTGGTCCTGGGAAGCTAGTGAGCGGCAGAGGTTGGGGGGGGCACTATGCCCCCCTCACCTCGTCATTGCACCCTCCTCGTAAAATGCAGACACTGCGTGCCGCACTGCAATTACCCATCATGCACAGTGCTTTCTCACGCTCTGCCAAGTAGCCCTGCTAGGTTAGTTACTGTGGAGGGTGTGTGTGAGAGATATGATGTGTACTGTGTGTGTATATGTGTGTGCACATGTGTGTGTGCGTGCACATGTGTGTGTGCGTGTGTATTTGTGTGTGTGTGTGTGTGTGTGTGTGTGCGTGCACATGTGTGTGTGCGTGTGTGTGTGTGTGTGTGTGTGCGTGCACATGTGTGTGTTAGCCATATCGTGGGAAGTAATTTTCCGTGACAGAGAGTTTTTATGGGGGCTTCACTGGGATCCACCACAAACTCCCGTTATTTCCTAATTTCCTTGGATCAAACACACACAAACACACACACACACACACACACTAAGTAGACAATGCATACAAATACTACACAGATACTTAATGAATGCTAATATCTAACACATGCTGTGATCGTACAGATGCCATCTGGCAGCACCTTCAAACAAAACATCATATTAACAAGAGCAATATCCTCCTGTGACTGCTGCTAACTACCCACCTCCACCCCCCTGCCCACTCCCCACACACACACACACACACACACACACACACACACACTTCTGAAAAAGTTTAGTTCCAACAAAGCATGACAGGAAAAACATGGTGTCCTGTACAGAATTGAGGAAGTTATTAATTCAGTCATTCATCAGTGGGTACTGAAGAGTCAACCTGTAGATTAGCATGCAGGCAACAACACACAGTGGAAAGCATCGACCGGGTTCACTCACACCGTCATTATTTAGGCCCAGTCTTAATTCAGTGTTATATTGGAGGATTTCAATGCAACAGAAACCCCAGCACAACCTTTCAGAGACACTGCGGGAGCATTAGACAGAGCACACACATACATACACACACAGACACACTCCTCCAAAAACACACATACAGCATACACATACACTTTCAGGAGAGACAGGGAACTCACACCTGGTCTCTGCTGGGACAGAGAGAATAGAGACCGCTGAGACATACAGACAGAGACACGGAATCAAAGTATGTGTGTGTATGTGTGGTGTGTGTGTGTGTGTTTGTGTGTATGTGTGTTGTATGTATTTGTGTGTCTGTGTGTGTGTGTAGGCGTCTGGTTTTGATGGTGGACAGAGCTAAGGCATGCTGTGTAAGCAATGGGGGGCGGAGCCTGAAGCCTTTCTTGCTGTTTTTCCTTTTTGGTGACACACACACACACACTTTGGCACACATTATATTCTGAGGATAAAACTGTAATAGCATGGAGTGTGTGTGTGAGGGAGGTTGGGGGATAAAAATATGTCTGGGCCTGCCAAGTGCACACAGTCCCCCTGCCCTACCACCCACACCCACTCCTACACCTACACCCGTTCC